GCCCATGCTGTTCCCCACGGGCGCGCCGGAGGCTGGGCTTTGCAGTTTTCATTGGCATGACAGCGAGTGCTGTGGTGTACCATTATCCCAATTATCCCTGTATTCCTTTGTTCCTGCCCAGATCGAGCTGTCTGACGCGGAACGACTTGGGCCGGGAGTGTCTCGACAATAGGAAGGGGACCAGCTTGTGGGCTTGCGGCGGGGCTAGTCCCCACAGATTTTTGGTCATTTCAAGGTGGAAAGATATTTCTGCATGACTTGAAGAAGATTTTGGGGTGTGGTCTGATCCAATAAGTTGTACCATCGAGGCTTGTTCAAGGACCTAAGGTTTTGGGTTCGCATTACCCAATTCCCTTCTATGCTTTTGCGCCAGCCTTGACAAGGCATGTGTAGAATGAATGCTTGATATGCTTTGGTCCCAAAGTGTAATTAAGTCTAAGTAGCTGCTACTTGTCAGGTCCTAGAGCTCAAGGACTCAAGGCTTGTTTTCAGAGATTGAACACCAGGTTCGGCGCGTGGCTTCTGAGGACGGCTACACCTTCACGGGCCATTTGGACCTATGGACCATGGCAGGCTTCTGAGCTTCGCAAGGGAGCTGGCTAGTGGGTCGTTAGAAATGGCGCTTGAGCACCCTTTGAAGGCTCAAGTGGATGCGATTCTTTGTGCATAGTCGCCTTTTTGCGGCCTTCTGCCAGTCCCAGCTGCAACAGGAGACCCTCAATGTGACTAAATAGGATCTGTGGGTTTTCGCTTCCGTATTGCCGCACTTCTGAAACCATTTGACAACCTTCATCCCAGAGAATCGCAGCTACCAGTTCGCCGTGCGGGCCGTGGCCCAAAGTGTGCCCTGGCCGCTTGGAAAGCTCAGCACAGCGTGGAACAGACACACCAGGCGACGGGTGCTGACCATTTTCCAGGCAGCGCATCTGCCGGTTTTCAGGTCCTGGCGTTCGTTGTGCCCCTTGGAAAAGATCCAGATGTCGGGAAACCTGAAGCAGATATAAGGTAGAAGTTAGAAGGAACACATAGTTCGGAAAGCCCCAGGTGCCTATATTGAGCTGCCTTGCTGCACACAGGACTTCTGCGATCGCAGCAGCTGCTTCTGAAAGCAAATAACCACTTCTATTTGGCTCAATTTCTTATAAGCATAGGAAAACTGAAAAAAATGCAGCCACCAAATAAGGACAGCACCTATCCGAGCTTACACTTTACTCCAACTGCCTTCTGATTGGTCTTGGCTGCACACTTTGAGCGCAAGAGGTTGGCTAAAAGCAGTGCCGTCTCGAAACGAACACTGGACGAGCTGGTTGTAGTTGCTAGATGAAGCCTAATACTGTAGCAGCGACCAGTTTTTTGAAACATTTTCAAAGTTAACTTAGCCTACCTAGCCAAGTTAAGAACGAAGCAGGAACCCGTGGATTGAATCCGGTTATGTTGCGGGCAAAATCATGACGATGCTGGCGCCCTTGCATGCGGCTGTGGCCTCAGCTACGTGTATGCCCGTATGCCCATGGGTTTTTGATGGAAAGGATAAAGGATGTCATGTCAAGTCATGAATGCTGGCTTTCGCACGTTGTTGGATTACACGGTTTTCTCTCGTGTTTTCTCCGTGCGTGCCTGTCCTCCCATTAAGGCACGACGATGCCTGTCCGTGAGACATCTTGGAGGCTGGAAGTAACACATGCAGTAGATTACTGGTGGCAACGCCAGAGACAGCGATAGTTGGGCAGCTACCTGCTCTACAGAGGTAGAGACACTACTACTGCTTCCATTAGACTACTATTATCTCACAAAGTCAGAGCTTGTCAAGTCAGATGTCAGCTGTTTGCTGATCCCGTTCAAGTGGTGCTTGGACGGCCAACCGATTGGATGCGCCATCAAGGCCAGGCGATTCTGAGGCGTTTCTCAATGCAGGGACTCCTGGTGGAAAGAGATGTGGCCTCCCGTCCAGTTTAACGGTTGATCTAGCGCGGAAATTTAACTTCATTTCTCCTGCCGAAGTGACTGCTGAATAAATATATGGAATTTTCCTCATTTATGATACAGTCTATTTGGACAGGATAGCCTTCTCGCTCGCAATTGCCCGCACTGCTGGTAGCTGTCCTGGCTCCTGTCCAGACAGAGCAACGGCAAGTCCATGTCAATTTCAATCTCCGATGCATGATGGAAGCGGCGAACAAACAAAAACAGAATTGAAAGGACAATCTGAGATAATTCTGCCCATGATCTCATAAAATGTCATATTCTGCTGCCCAGCATAAGCCGTGTTTGAATCAACTGATCCACCTCACTGTGCCTTGGAAGGTAGCCGCAGGTAGCCGCGGTGAGAAGAAGGCCCCATGGAGCGCAGCGCTTGGAAACTGCTGCAGCTCAGCCTTGCTTTGCCATGGGCAACCTGAATGAATCGGTGCTTCAGGATGTGATAGAAGGCAACATTTAATCCGAACTGGATGGTCAAATATGGTCAAGATATGTTCAGATAGTACCAACAGTTTTGATTCACGTTCAACATCAGCCTCCAAAATTGTTTATCTTCTCGCGAAATATCACTTGGAATGCACGGAGTCTAGTTTATGGGACTGGGTCAATGCCTAGGCCTACAATACCAATAGTGATACCATACTTACGAATATTTACGCGGATGAACATCCATAATCCATAACTCCCATTCAATCCCATTGGCCAAAAAACCTTGGGTAAAAAAACAGGGTGCCCAATCCCCGAATCCCATTCAATCCATTTCAATCCCCAGCCATCTTGGGGCCCAGGGGTCCAGTGACCAGGCCCGGGCCCTGGACAATGGCCTGGCGCTGACGCCGCCCATGGGATGGATGACATGGCAACGCTACCGCTGCGAGACCAACTGCAGCGGAGAAGGCGCCCAGCGGTGTATCAACGAGGACCTGATCAAAGAGATGGCCGACCGCATGGCGGAGGCCTATGGGCGATGGGGGCTGTGGATGTTGGGGATGGGGATGGGGGAAAGATTTGACGAATATTCCAGACGTGTCTAGAATCTAGAACGACACAAAGACACACACAGACAGAGACTAGACACAGAGTATACATGAATACATGAACATACATGGTGCAGTATCCGTTGATTTGTTTGATCGGATTTTAGACATCCAAAACAATTATACTCTTCCCAATCCTTTGGATTATGGAATGGTCAGTGCTATCTATAAAAAGTATTATCCGCTTTTAAGGGATGAGTTGGAACGACCAAGAAATTGAATTTTTGGTAGCAACTACAGTTGCACCAAGAAAGTGTTGCAAACAGTACTAGGACATAGCTCACATTCTCCAAGTTGGAGTTGGAAGCATCCTTTATGCAGGATGGCTGGTTGGATGCTGGCTATCAATACATCAACATCGATGACTGCTGGATGTTGCCTGAACGAGCCGAAGGCCGCCTGGTCCCCGACCCCAAGCGATTTCCTTCCGGCATGGCTGCTCTGGGCCACTTAGCCTTGCCGGACTTTGCTGGCGCAATAACTTCGGAAACAGATAGGGCGAGTGAAGAAACATCCAGGAAAGGACGCACAAGGTGTAGATATGTTTGTACTGGATCTCTTTTTCGCAAAACAGCTCATAATTACTGGATCCATTTAAATCCATTTAAATCCATTTGGATCCATGACTGGATCCATGACTGGATCCCATTGATACTGCACCAATTGTTTGTGTCTCGGCTGAGGTGAGTACATCCATCAGCGTGGGTTGAAGTTTGGCACCTACGGAGATATTGGGTACAAGACCTGCCAGGGCCTGACAGGGTTCCATGATCATTTCGAAGAAGATGCGCAAACCTTGGCGGATTGGAAGGTGGACTACATCAAGGTGGATGGCTGCAATGAGAATCAGGAGGAGAGTAAAGGTTTCAATGGGTTTCAATGGGTTTCAATGGGTTTCAATTGGTTTCAATTGGTTTCAATGGGTTTCAGGTGCAAAATCTGAAGGCAACAAGATGTGTTGAAAGCAGGACATGGCGCGAGACTATCCTGCGTTTGGTGCTGCCCTGAACAAGACCGGGCGGCCCATTGCCGGGTGCTCAGGGAGGCACCTGCCCACTTGTACCTCCTAGTGGACGGATCATCGTTTTTTGAACAATCACTTGGACCTGGAGCAGTTTCGCTTTCTGTGAGGTGTATAGCTGTAGCTGGCCAGCCTACATGCCCCATCATTGTGAGAAGACCGATGGTTGCATGAACTCCCTCATCCAGCACTGTGCTTTCCTCAGTCGTTTTGGAAGAATAATCGATTTTGTGCAAAGAGTTGGGCGTCTTGCCAAGCTGTTTGCAACAATCTGCCTACTTGTACTTGTACCACATAGATCCATATAGATGGGCTTAGAATTACCCGTAACTGGGTGTTTTCCTGGAGCTTGATTGGGACTAAGCCCCATTATATTATACTTAAATGTGCAAATGTACATGTAGTGCCATGTGTATGAAACATTATGAAACTATGTATATATATATAATTGTATATGAATCGGAAATCAAGTTCCAACCTTCCCTGCACTAGCGATGCGCGCAGGCAACTTGTGGCGGAATTTTGATGACGCACCCTGGACGAATTTTAGCATTGCAGATGCCCTTTGGTATACCTTTGAACTGCATAGATACATAGGACAATGGGAGCACAAACGTGCCCATGACGGGGAAGACTTTTTTGGTGCGGAGCTTCTGCTCTCATGACGTTGAGAGAGTTATAAGGTATACCCCGATCTCTGTGGGTATCGCGTTTAGATACACCCACCTGCTAGACATGTTTTGTTCTAGTTCTACTAGCCGTCGTCGTGGTTGTGGTTGTGGTTGTTGTGGTTGTTGTGGTTGTGGTTGTTGTGGTTGTTGTGGTTGTTGTGGTTGTGGTGGTTGTGGTTGTGGTTGTGGTTGTGGTTGTGGTTGTTGTTGTGGTTGTTGTTGTTCCCTGTTGTTGTTGTTGTTGTTGTCGTCGTCGTCGTCGTCGTCGTGGTGCTAGTCACTGCTAGTCGTGGTTACTGTTATCCCATCGCTCCTGTCCAGGTTGCGGACAGTTGGGACTCGGTGGCTTGGCTGTGCAAGATTTCAACCGATGCATTCTTCCGCCTAGGGGGGGTTGACGTGCCTTGAAAGTTCTCTACATGAAGTAAATAGCGTGGTAAACCAAAAAAAGCATCAATATTACCATTGGATTGGTATAAACCATCCCCACATGGTAGGTTTATTATTGGGTTTACCACATTATGGATCACTATGGATATTTCATAAGGTCTGAGGTACGGGGAAGGCCCGCAAAACACGGCAAAAAGTGGCCTTTATGGGGTCCATGTGTTGCGTCTCATAATCTTCAACTGACACTTGTGGAGTCTTAGCGGTTTCAGAGTAAGTATAGACATTTTTTCCCAAGTTGTCAGAATTCTGCACCAATCATTTCTCAGTTCATCAACTTCCCAAGGTAAAGAGCATCACCAACTTCTGGAAGAGGTTGAATTCCAGTGATGAAATGGTGCAATCTGCAGGGCCAGGGCATTGGAATGATCCGGCCTCAGTGAGCATGCAAAGTAGGGCTCCTTCTATGGGAAGGTAGGGAGAAAACTATGCGGTCCATGCGTGTATATACCATGAATGGTTGTCAATATGTCATCATTCTCAAGCATCGTCTCAAGAAACGATTTTGTACATGGTGAAACATCAGGTACGCATGCAAATGATGTACCTCTCCGAAGACCGTGGCTTTTTCCTTGATACAGTGTGTATAACTCGTTCAATTTGAAGGGTTGTATGATATGCTATGAAGCGCTTCAGTAAATCTTGGCCGGATTTCCACCAGTTGGCCCCGTTGGCACCGGCCGTCGAGGATCCAGACATGCTCTTGGTGGGTGGCTTCGGGTTGTCCGTCTCCGAAGCGCAGAGCCAGTTCGCCCTGTGGTCGCTCTTCGCGGCGCCGCTGTTTATGTCCAACGACCTGCGCGACATCTCGCAGGAAGCCAGGGACATACTGCAGAACAGGGAGGTCATCGCGGTGAACCAGGAGATGAAGATGGGGATGCACCACACATGGGAATGGGGTGATGAGAAGGGCCAAGGAAGGTCACAGATGAACTATGAAATGTGGGAGAATTTTGATCATGAATGTGAATGACACCATTGGAGGTTGGAGCAGCCTGTTCATGCCAATCCAGGGTGGCTGAAGAGCTGAAGGGACGCTGTTCCTGTCGCAGGACCCATTGGGCAAGCAGGGTTTTTGCGTGGCTGGCTGCGATGGAAACTTGCGAGTTTGGGCCAGGCCTTTGGCAGGCGATCTGTAGAATTCTGGGCTGCTGGTGTTGCCCGTTTTCCCTCGCATTGACAGATTGACACCCCAACTCAGCTCATGCCGCAGTGTTCCGCTCAACGCAGTTTAATTTCCCTACCAGAAATGGATTGTACGGTGCATCTTGGAGATCCAACATGTCTACATTCTTGGTGACTTAAATCCGTATTTCAATACATCACCTTTGAGTAATTTCAGTTGATCTGGATATTTCGCTGTTTGCCCTTGAATTTGGCTAGTAGCTGTGCAATTGATATGCCCTTGACGAGGCGGTGACGTCGCTGTGATCTTTCAGAATCTTGGATTCGCCGGAGACGGTGACAGCATCACTTTACCGACCTCCACGTTCTTTGGCTGCTTCATTCTTTCAGATTGAAAGAAAAAAAGAAACGTACAATGCCGGCTGGAATCCAGCGAATTGTGTGGCGGTTATGATGGTTGGCCCTTACCGGAGCACCCTGGGTTTGCTGATCAAGATTATGATGACAGTAGACAGGAATGATGTGCATGGAATTGTCAGCACCAAACAACTTTCAACGATACCATTGCAAGGATTCAAGGAATCCAGTGTGGACCTATGCTCAGCCCTATGATTTCATTGCAGCCTTTGCCATGCTGAGTTTGCCATTCAAAACCTTCCGGATCTTCAAAGCGCGCGATCTCTTTGCCAAGAAGGAGTCCACTGGACCTGCACTGTGTTTGCAGCAACTTTTGCAGATGTGTGGGCAACCTTCGTTTTTGTTGACTTTCGCCATGCGATGTCTTTGCAGTGCCAGGAGATTGTCGCAATTGTTTTATCGGGCGAGCAATCGGTTTCGGTAGTTTCTATTGTTGTCCTGGACAAAAACAGCCAACCACACACACACATCGTCCATCATAGTCCATCCTCGCTTCTTTCCAGTGTCTCTGACAGTCCCAGAGCCTTCATGTCGTTGATCCCAGCAGCCGCATCCCATAGGATCTTGGCATCTTCCGCGAAGAGCTCACCCTCTATGTCCATGTGAGCTCCTGTAGGCCAGGCGATGGCTGGGAAGAGTTCCAAGTTGTTAGTGGGCATCTGAAAAGATGTCCATTGTGCCCGTTGGGAGCTTGTTTAGAATGCAGTAATCAACGGACATCAACGAACGCATGGATTTTTGGAACCAAAGATATCAAACGCATGCTTTTGGGGGTCCGAACTCCGTACGCTTTTTTCAACATCTTTCAACTGAAAATGAAGGACTTTCAGATTAGCTGGGACTCGTACGTTTTTTTTACATATCCATTAGCTTCATTTAGCGTCCAAACCCGAAGTGAAGTACCAATTCCATTCTTGATCTGTGGGGTGAACCAAGCTCTTTTTATTGTTTATCTACATCTGATCTGGGCCTGGTATGCTGGTGTGCTTTGGTGGGAACGAAGACATCTCGCACCGTTGCCGCCTCTGCAGCTTGCTGCGCTGGCAGGATGATCCGCATCTCCGCCGCGACTGAACAGCAGATCATGGTGTGATTCAGCCAAGGGGTTTCCTGGCGTCACGGCTTCCCAGCCTCGTGTTTTGAAGAGGCAGTAGACGCCCCGCAGTCATCGCGTGCTTGAAGTGTGACGCAGAAAACGATTGCCTGGGTGCTGGGCGGAGATGAGGCGAATGCAATTGGGCAAGGCTTGGACGGGTAAACCAGTTAGGCAAGCTACAATGTCAATTGGAATGTGAAGTTGGATGATATGGGATAATGACTTCTGCTTGTTGGAATGGCATGATCACTGCATGTTCAACACAGATAATTCTCGCACTTGGCATTTCTGGGGCTTGTGTGTTGAAGTAAGAAATCGTCTGGTTTAAATATGTTTCAATGCAGTGTTTCCCTAGCTTCGCATCCTTTTGATTTTTTCTTGTCCGTCTTTGCTCTCAGGAGCTTTTTGGCTATCATACACGGGAGACCGTGGGAGAATAAAGGCCAAACATTCTTAAGTTATCTTGGTTAGTGGAGCACAAGCATTCTGATGTGGAAGATGTTCACCACATCACATCAACTCAAGAATTTTATGCTTTTTTTAGCACCAGCTTGCCCTGAATCTTGACCGTTCCTGGGTGCTGGATGACGTTGTCGCCCAAGGCAAGTGGCATGTCTTCAGGAGAAGCAGGGCCACTCAGACGATTCTCAAAAGAAGGAGGGACTAAGATAGACGGGATTCATCTCAGATAACTCCAGGTAGCTGAGGCTGATTCGTTTCTGGGACTACGGACCTCGTTTTGTTTTGAAGAAGCGATCTGAAGGTCATCACTTCCTGTGTTGTTTGATGCACAACTCGTTGGACCCACGGAAGTCATGGCACAAAACAGGATTCTAGTCCGGTCATATCCGGTCCCCCAAATGTTGGGGCCGACTCCAAAACATCGTTTCATGTTCATGGCATATTTTGCAGAGGTGCTTTTTCTTCCTAAGGATTCCCCAGACCCAGCCCATGCCCAGGGCAGACTTCCCTTGCGTGGATGCTTGCCCTTGCTTCGATGCGCACCGTGTGCAGTCGGCCCAGCTCAGCTCCAGAGTCCGCAGTTTTTAGGGCGACCTGCAGACAGTCACGTGACATTTTGTGCGGAGGAAAATCGGGTTCCCCCCAAATCCGTCCCAGCTTTTTATAGGCGAAACGGATTAATATTTATTATTATTATTGTTATTATAATAATAATAATTATCATTATTATTATTAGTATTATTATTATTATTCATATATATATATATATTCTTATTACTACCAGTAGTACCGCACAAGGCGGCGGCGGAAGTTTCAAAGATAGGAAGACTACAGGAGAGGTTGGTAGTTGTGAATCATGGATGGCAGAGCGAACCGACTGATGGATCGAAAGTTGGTTGGAGTGTCGGGCTATCTATTTGTCTATCTGTCCATCTGTCTATCTGTCAATCTGTCTATCTGTCTATTTGTCTATCTATCTATCTATCTGTTTGTCTGTCTGTCTGTCTGTCTATCGATTGTTTTTCTATTTGTCTGTCTATCTATCTGTCTATCTATCTCTCTGCCTAGCTACTGGGTCAGTGACCTAAGTCGTATCACCTACCCAAAAGTCGTATCAATCATGCGTGGCTTATGGGGAAAGCTAGGTCAAAGGCACAATTTATCACAGCAAATTGAGGCGTGGCCTTGCGGTTGTGCAATTTGCGGTCATCAACGTTTGAAGCTGGTACGTAGAAATTCCATGCGGTTTCCATTGTTCTTTGGGCACTTTTTTCCCCGAGCGCGTCTGAGCGAAGGGTTCTTCTAATAGTGGGGGTCTGTCAAACATTTTCACATCTTCACAGCACATCTTCACTTCACATCTGCTCATCTTCACATCTTCTCATCTTCACATCTTCTCATCCTCACATCTTCTCATCTTCACATCTTCTCATCTTCACATCTTCTCATCTTCGCATCTTCACATCTGCTCATCTTCACATCCTCACATCTTCTCATCTTCTCATCTTCACATCTTCACACCTTACATCCTCACATCTTCACGTCCTCACATCTTCACATCTTCTCATCTTCACATCTTCTCATCTTCACATCTTCTCATCTTCACATCTTCTCATCTTCACATCTTCACATCCTCACATCTTCACATCCTCACATCTTCACATCCTCACATCTTCACATCTTCACATCTTCTCATCTTCACATCTTTAGATCCTCACATTTTCACATCAATCTTCACATCTTCACATCTTCCAATTATCTCTTGCCCTCTTGCTCTCTTACCCTCTTGCTCTCTCCTTCTTTTCTATTTCTCTCTTAAGGCGCGGACAGTGCCAACGAGACGGCACGAAACGCAACCCTTTCGCACGAAACGAGGTTCGATTGCCCAAAACTGCGGTAAAATTGCGATTTTGAATGTGCCGCGGCAACCTTTTCGCACGATATGAGGTTCGATCGCCAAAAACTGCGGTAAAATTGCGATTTTACAACCTCCGCGGCAACCCTTTCGCACGAAATGAGGTTCGATCGCCAAAAACTGCAGTAAAATTGCGATTTTGAGTGTGCCGCGACAACGGTTTCGCACGAAATGAGGTTCGATCGCCAAAAACTGAGGTAAAACTGCGATTTTACAAACCTCCGCGGTAACCCTGTGTGTAAACGCGTTTGTGTGTAAAAGCGTCTGGTGTGTAAACGCGTCTGTCTGTGTGTATACACCACTTTGTCACACATCATCTTTGACACACCATCTTTCACACCACTTTGTCACACACCATCTTTGACACACCGTCACAGACCATCTTTCACACACCACTTTTGTTCACCATCTTTCACCACACCATTCTTCACCCACCGCTTTGTCACACACCATCTTTCGCCACACCATCTTTCTTTGTCACACACCATCTTTCACATACAACTTGGTCACACACACACACAACTTTGTTTTACTTCGCGATCCTCCACCACCTCCTTTGTCTTTCCTTCCTTCCCGGTTCCCGCTACAACATTTGGTGCTCATTATTGGAAGAAGTTGCCTTGTGGGGTTATCCGGTCCTTGAATTGGGCACACACACACTATCAGATACCAAATCCTTGTGAATGTCTTGGATGTTTTGTCCGTCGTCAATGTGCTGTGACGCGATGTTTCCGTCTCATTGATGATGCATGAACATTTTCATCACTTCTTGGACCAGACCTTTGACCCTGCCATCCAAACCCTGCCAAGGGATTGGCCCCAAGACGGGCGAGTGTCTGAGGATGTGATTAACCAGTGCGCACTAGGCCGTTTTTTCGCTTTCAAAATTCGACGGGAATATCCAGGGGGCCCGGTGGATGCCTGGGAAATGGACCCAGCTTACTGCTTGTGCAGAAGACCTTGAGGTTTGACCGTTTTGCTTGTTGGAGATGTTCGTCAGGTACTCCTCCCTTCAACCAAATCCTCTTCGAATGGAGGAGGCTTCAACCAAGAAATCAGATGTCGTTTTAATCAATTGAATTCAGTTGAAGTGTTTGGGCTTCATTTGGCTACATTTGCTTCGTTTCAGATGTGGCATCATTTGCAGGAGGGACATGGAGGTCCCATGTCCCACAGTTTTGATTTTGCTTCCCAGTTGATAATTATAACTTATACCAGTAGTACCGCGCAAGGCGGTTGCGGAAGTTTCAAAAATAGGAGACCTATAGGAAGGGTTGGTTGTTGTGACTCGCGGATGGCAGAGCGAATCCACTGATGGACCGAAAGGTGGTTGGAGTTGTGCTTTTTGGAGTGGTTGCAATGGTTGCAGCGGTCACCTCACTCACAACTCCTGGATGTAGCGTGGTGTAGCGCAGTAGTTGTAGTTGTAGTTGTAGTTGCAGTTGCAGTTGTAGTTGTAGTTGTAGTGGTGAAGTTGTTGAAGTTGTTGAAGTTGTAGAAGTTGTAATGTTGTAGTTGTGGTTGTGGTTGTAGTTGTAGTTGTAGTGTATATAGTTGACTTGTAGTTGAAGTCTTAATTAATTGTCTTAATTGTAGTAATTGTAGTAATGGTGTAGCGCAGTAGTCGTAGTTGTAGTTGTAGCTGTAGTTGTAGTTGTAGTGTAGTGGAGTTGTAGTTGTAAGTTGTAGTTGTAATGTAGTGGAATTAGTGCAGTGCAGTTGCAGTTGCAGTTGTAGTTGTGGTGTGGTGTAATTAGTGTAATGTATTGTAATGTATTGTAGTGTACTGTAGTGTTGTGTACTCTAGCGTGGTATAGTGTAGTGTGGCCTAGTGTTTTGTAGTGTAAACTAGTGTAGTTGTATTTGTAGTGTAGTGCCGTGTAGTGCAATGTAGTGGTAGTTGCAGTTGTAGTGTAATGTAATGTAATTGGTGTAGTGTAGTGCTGTGTAATGTAGTGTAGTTCTAGTTGTATTTGCATTTGTAGCTGTAATGTACTGGAGTTCAATTAGTGTATTGATGTGTAATGTATTGTAGCTGTCATTGTTGTTGTAGCTGTGGTGGTGGTGATGGTGATTGAGCTTTCATTGTTGTTGTAGCTGTTGTAGCTGTTGTAGCTGTGGTGGTGGTGGTGATGGTGGTGGTGATGATTGGTGGTGGTCGTCGTAGTAGTAGTAATAATAGTAGTCCTCGTAGTAGCAGTAGTAGTAGCAGTAGCAGTAGTAGTAGTAGTAGTAGCAGGAATAGTAGTAGCAGGGGTAGTAGTAGTAGTAGAAGTAGAAGAAGTAGAAGAAGTAGCAGTAGCAGTAGTAGCAGTAGTAGCAGTAGTAGCAGTAGTAGTAGTAGTAGTAGAAGTAGTAGTAGTAGTAGTAGCAGTAGCAGTAGTAGCAGTAGTAGTAGTCGTCGTCGTCGTAGTCGTAATCGTAGTCGTAGTCGTAATCGTAGTAGTAGTAGTCGTCGTCATCGTCGTCGTAGTAGTAGTAGTCGTCGTCGTAGTAGCCGTAGTAGTAGTAGTAGTCGTAGTAGTCGTAGTAGTCGTAGTAGTAGTAGTAGTAATAGTAGTAGTAGTAGTAGTAATAGTAGTAGTAGTAGTAGCAGCTAGTAGTAGTAGTAGTAGTACTAGTAGTAGTAGTAGTAGTAGTAGTAGTAGTAGTAGTAGTAGTAGCAGTGGTGGTAGTAGTAGTAGTAGTAGAAGTAGAAGAAGTAGAAGAAGTAGCAGTAGCAGTAGTAGCAGTAGTAGCAGTAGTAGTAGTAGTCGTCGTCGTAGTCGTAATCGTAGTCGTAGTCGTAATCGTAGTAGTAGTAGTCGTCGTCATCGTCGTCGTAGTAGTAGTAGTCGTCGTCGTAGTAGCCGTAGTAGTAGTAGTAGTAGTCGTAGTAGTCGTAGTAGTAGTAGTAGTAGTAATAGTAGTAGTAGTAGTAATAGTAGTAGTAGTAGTAGCAGCTAGTAGTAGTAGTAGTAGCAGGAAAAGTAGTAGCAGGGGTAGTAGTAGTAGGAGCAGTAGCAGTAGTAGCAGTAGCAGTATTAGTTGTAGCAGTATGAGTAGTAGCAGTAGTAGCAGTAGTAGCAGTAGTAGCAGTAGTAGCAGTAGTAGCAGTAGTAGTGGTAGTGGTAGTAGCAGTGGTAGTGGTAGTAGTGGTAGTGGTGGTAGTAGTAGTAGTCGTAGTAGTAGTAGTAGTAGTAGTAGTGGCCGTTGTAGTAGTTGTAATGTAATTAGTGTAGTGTAGTGTAATTAGATGCAATTCGTGTAGTGTAGTGTAGTGGAATTAGTGTTGTGTAATGTAGCGTAGTATATTTGTACTTGTAGTTGTAGTAGTAGTGTTAGTGTAGTGGTACTTGTAGTTGTAGTTGCAGTTGTAGCTGTCTATCTATCTATCTATCTATCTGTCTATCTATCTATCTATCTGTCTATCTGCAAGATTGAAAACGAAGCTATTCTTCGAGACTTCCTCAGTTTTTGAACTTGACAACATCAAAAACGCAGCAATTCTGCGAGACTTCCTTAATCTTTGAACTTGACAACGTCAAAAACGAAAGAATTCTGCGAGACTTCCTCAATCTTGGAAGTTGACAACATCAAAGACTAAGCAATTCTGCGAGACGTCCTTCGAAAATGGAAAGTTGAGTGCAGAGCTGACGGCCTCGTACCAATGCGTTTTGCGATTTTTCCACTCCACCTGTCTAAAGTATTGCGCTTGCCACGAAAAAAAGTGAGGCCAGGTCATACGAAGTGCTGCACTTGTCGCGCAAAATCATCGTCCCAAAGCTGAAGATCTGATGCTCCAAAATGCAACCCCTCTCAGGAAATCAGCGCCCGGACCTCCTAACATCCCTGATAAACATGTCTCTTGTACTGCGCCTGCCACGGAAAATGCATCTTTGCAGATCCTCTTCAAATGTCCCACGCCTGCCATCATTTTTGGAAAAGCTACAAAACCCTCACATTTTGCTCGCTTTTGACAAGGTGCACAATCGCTTGCGCCTGCCACGCAGAAGCACATCTGAACGTCCAAAAGTCTTCCGTACCCCGCAGTTATTTTGCACTTTTGACTTCGAAACGCGCTTCGCGCCACAACGGTGTGCACTTTTTCGACATCCCAACTTCCAAAAGTGGTCTGGACGTGGTGTGCTTTGTACATTTCGACTTCGACATGTGCTTCGCGCCACAACGGCATGCAATTTTTCACCTCTCATCTGGCCAGCTGGCTCCGCACCCGCCGCTTTAGCGAGCCTAGTTTTCGACCCTCCGGAGCCACAAATCATTGGAAAAACAGAGTGTTTCGCGACTTTCCCACCTTTTCGCGCACTTGGATCTTCTTTCTTCTTCTTTCCTCTTTTTTCCTCTTCTTTCCTCTTCTTTCCTCTTCTTTCCTCTTCTTTTCTCTTCTTTCCTCTTCTTTCCTCTTTCCTCTTCTTTCCTCTTCTTTCCTCTTCTTTCCTCTTCTTTCCTCTTCTCTCCTCTTCTCTCCTCTTCTCTTCTCTTCTCTTCTCTTCTCTTCTCTTCCCTTCTCTTCTCTTCTCTGCTTTTCATCTGTCATCATCTGTCCATATTGTCGGAAGTTTGGCTTCTAAACTTCCTTTCATAAAACCTGAATCACAGTGGCCAAACATGAAGTCATTGCAAAATTTCAGGCGAAAATTCTTGAAAGTGTTCCCCTCTGCCAGGGTTGATGGGTCGTTGCAGGTGTTGGCAATGAAGGATTCCCAGGCTCTGGGGCAGTTCCATCTCGGGTGACGGAGCTGTGTGAAAACATGGGAACCTTTCAGTGCAAGTCATTTGTAGCAATTTCATGCAATTGCAGTATTCATTGTCCATCATCCAATGTCCATCACCTAGCATTCGTTATAATATATATGTTATAATTTATCGTCCCTCACTCGTCACCCATCAGCCATCCCCAATCAGCAGAATCATTATCGGAACCACCATTTTAATCATAATTAAGGAACAGTCGCAAACAAACATTGAAGTGACAAAGTATGTAGGATAATCCCCACCCCCTGATATTTGCACACCGCCCAACAGCTATGCTGAATAGGAGATAAATTCATCAGCAGGCTACTGCCAAAATGTTGAGACAAGAAATCCCGGCGGGGATGCTCAGTGGAATCTCGGTGTTTAATCATGAATGGCAAGGAAAAATTCTCCAAAGTGGCTTGATTTTAGCTTGTGAACTGTTAGAATTCTGTCATTCTGTTAGTAACTTATGTTCCAATGGAACGGAAATTCAGCCAGAAACATCAGAGATCGTACCATTGCCCAGTGAACGAACCTGGCTGATCTTACTGCAACATCCAAATCTATTTGTGGGATGTTGTGGGGAAGGTAACCTATGGATATCTACAGATATCTACAGGTATCTACAGATATCTACAGATACCGTATCTCTTGGGGATTTCCATTGCCAGATTAGAGTGCTGCAAGGTGCCCAAAAACTTGGGGTTTGCCCAAAAAGAACATGGGTGGGGATGTCATCCGAGTCGAAAAGGAAATCAACAGCGAATCAATGCGCAATTGTGGATGTCTTGGCATCATGTGGCGTATACAGATACACTCTCTTGAACATACCCACATCTGCAGCTGCAGATGTGCTTGGATTTGAACACATTGGATCTGAACACAAGGACCATTGAAGACCATAAAGGCTTGGAGTGGCGTGGCTCAAGCAATTCTGCCTCCAGGGGTGGTGAAGGCAGGTCTGAGGTGATGAATGTTATGGGCAGCAATCGGCTATTCAATAGACGGTCACAAGCAGATTCCTGTAGCTGCAAGAGAGGCATTTCATACACTCCGAAGGGCTCATGTGCAATCACGTGCGATGGACCTCAATGGACGTTCAGGAGAACCGCAAGGCTGGCAATGGACGTTGAGCTTGGGGAGTGTGGGTTCCAGCTCCCACAGCCTTCACAGCTTCCACTGTTGCCATGTTGCCAGCCGTGAAGCTCAGATCAGCGGAGCCGCAGACCATGTCCATGTTACATTCAGCACCACCCCAAGATTGGTCATCTTCCCACGTAATCATGACTCCAGTGATCAATTCTTGAAGGGGATCCGCATAGTTTGACGTAGTAGATTGCTTCTCGGTGACACTTAGTGAAAGTCTTTAAAATTGTCGGCAAAGTCCGGTGTGCGCCAATGTCACGGATGATGTCGACCGCATTGGGACAGCTTGCGGTGTGGATTCTGGCAACGCTCATAACTTGGGCGCTGTGTTGGCGGATCGTTTCACCAGTCAATTGCCGAGAAGAACCCAGCTGCCTTCGGCAGATGCAGATCCACCCTGGACTGAGGGTGGCACGTTTTGATGAGATTTCGATGTATTCTTTTGTCTATCTATCTATAATTGAATCGAATCTAGTCTATTTGCTCCAATCTATCTACCTCAATCAAATCTAGTCTGGTCCAACAATCCAGTCTAATCCATACATCTATCTATCTACAGAATAACTATATAATTCCAACTACTATCAGTTGGTCTAGCGATGCAGATATGAATGCACCCACGCACACTGCATTGACATGGCAAGACATTGCATTGCCGTGCGTTATATCACATCACATAACATCGCATTACATTGCAGTGCACATTACATTACATCACAGCACATTGCATCTCATTACATTGCATATCATTACATTGCATCTCATTTCATATGCACACACACACACGTACATACGTACGTACGTATGTACATTCATACAAATGTATACACACTTATGACCCCATCTAATCTTATCCCGGCCTAGACGCTTGGCCGTCTCCGCAAGTTTCCGTTCTGGCCTGGCCCGGGCTGGCCGCCAGGGCCATTAAAGTTGCGTTGACGCCAGGACATTATCACGTCATTTCAACAACCGCTCTGACCGCAATGGCAGGGCATGAAGTCGTAGGCCTTGTGGCGGCCTACTTTGGAGCACAGAAAGCCCGAACACTGATCCCGCACATTCGAAGCAGGTGAGACTTGGGATGACTTGGGATGTGAGGATATGGTGAGAATCCCTTCCCTTACACTTATTGGGGTTTAACGGTTTAACATTAGTTGTAGGGGCAAGGCATTATTCTGAGTTACTGTTTGAGAGGGGGATGTTAGGAGCTTGTTTTGTTTGAGTTGAAGATATTTGAAGGGCTATGGAAGGTTGGGAGTGCCAAAGTCATTGAAGGGGAGCTGGCCAAGCTGGGTTGAGGTGCCTGCCAAGCTTCTTGCTTGCGGTGATGTTTGGGACCTTGGCAATTGTCGAGTGGCTGTTCTCGCATAGTGACCGGACATTGGCTCACGTCATGCACAATTCGGATGGTCTCACCCCGGGGGCTCGGCCCACATACACGCTGCAATACCTGGAGTTCAACATCAACGTGCCAATACTTTTTATTTTGTCAGGCCGCTTGGCATGACATAGTTGGTTTGTAACAAAATGTGGGGGCCAAATCCATTCGCGAACTCTCGCAGACGATCTAATGGAGAAGTCCATTTGTTAGTCATCACGCGTCCGTGTTCCATTACAATTACATTAAATTGCCAGAAATATAGATGGAGTGCTGCCCCAGGTTCAGACACACCAAAACAGAAATCGTTCACAATCTGTGAAAGTCCTGCAGGGGGACACCTGTGCTTGATGGCTGAGTCAAGAGGAAAAGACAGGTGTCAAATTGGTCTATTAATGGCAGCATCATGTACTGGATCATTAAGGCAATGACATGGAACCAGCTAGACAAAATCCGTTCAGGTTGTTCAATATCAGGGCAAGAACACACGTACATTAATACATCTTTTGCCAAGGAATCAGACACTTCAGCATGTTGATCATATATCGTTTGGGGCCCGCGGGATTGAAACGCGTGGGTCCCGTTGTTTCCTGGTCGTCGTTTAATTAGTGCTGGAGGATGCATTGAAGATGTGTTGTCATCCTCCCTATTGAGAGGCCTGCGAATGGCATATTTCTTGATTTTGTGTGTTGCAACTCTAACTGGGAGGAAGGGTTTTTTTCCCACAAGCTTGCGTGCATCAAATACCTCACCCCGCAGCAGAGCATTCTATTCAACTATTCCTTGCGAGGTTATTGCAGCCTCGGCCGGCCTCTGCCAGAAGTTTCAAGACCCTTGGTGGTCACCAATATTTACATCATCCTAGCATGGGCCGCAACGGCCACAGCGTCGGGCATTTTGAAGTGGCTTCCCGTCCTGGCTTTAGAGTTTTCTTGATTTGCAGGCCCTTAGGGCCCTTACGTGGTTGAAGAAGTACTTTTGGCATCTTTTGGCCAAGTTTTGAAATGAAGATAGCTACTGTAAGTCTGGTCAACTGAAGCTGACTAACGCCACCTTCCCACAGCATGGCGAAGCTGCCACTCAAAGAGGGCCCCCTGAGGTTGCTGATCGCCACCTCGTTTGGCATGTTCGCCTGGGCCTCGCGCGACATAGTCCAATGGTGCAAGGAGTTTGAACGCACAGCGCCTCGCGACCTGCCAAGTAGATCGGTTCGGCCATGGATCAGTCATGGCCTGATGCTTGGCTGTCCAAGGGGATCTGAGATGATTCAGGTTGGGAAGGGAATGGGTGGAGAAATGTGGAACACATTCCTCATTCTTGTGGACAAACTGGACGTGGACGTCACGGCTCCGGCCAGCTGTGCATGGTTCGTTTGAACATGAGGCACCTTACAATCATGACTGATCATTCCCCACTTTCACATTGCTTTCTTGGAACCCATTGTTGGACAAAATTCCTTGAGCGCAAAGGATCGTGGAGTTCCTTGCATATGGCTTGGTGTATTTGCTCTCCGGCTTGGGCCTCATCTGCGCGGAAACAGAACGCAAGAGCTACTTGGAGCACGAGAGCGCGAGAGATGTAAAACCAGTCGAACATATTTGAACATGGCAGTGGTTCAAGATTTTAGACCAACAAGGGACAGCAGATTCTTGCACATGGGAGTATGGTTTTGAATGCGCGCCAGAATCGTTTGGTACATGGGGTGCAGGTACTAATTTTGGACCCCTATCCAGGTGGATTTCTCATTCCCTGGTCAGTTATCGCCTGCTGAAAGAAATAGCTGGCAGTGAGCGAACCAGCAAGAATCAATTCAGGTTTCTTTGCGTTGACTTTCGGCAGCAAAATTGCGATTTGCGCGATCTTCGTGTTCATTCGGGCAGACGAATATCACAAGACCCTCACGGATGTCCTACGAAAAGTTAGTGTTTCCAATGTGGGCCGCTTGGCGTGGAAAAGGGGAGCGAGCAGATTCATGGAGAAACGGTCAGCATTCAAAAGGGCAGTTTCAACCTTGCACCGAATATATCCACATATAAGGAGGATTGATTTGACCATATTTGACCTAATGATATAATTGAACATATTGATACATATTGAACATGTGGGCCCGTTGGCCTTAGCTTGACCCATATCCCATACTCCTCATTTAGTTCTTCCTCTCCCATTCCCAGTCCTTCACTATCGAAGGTATGATCTCCATCCTGCGGGGCAGCTTTGACATTCTTCTTCCATGTGTTGTGGACAGTTATGGCCGATGCAAATTTCCCCCACAGATGTCAGGGGACATGGCCAAATTGGAGAAGATCTTGGGTTGCACTGTGGCCGGTGCCAATTTCAAAGACTTGCTGGCAGAAAGTGACAGGGCTGACTTCGCCGCTTATCTTCGAAATGTGATCCGCCAGGCCGATTTCCCGCAGGACACCTCCGAATCGGTTGCATTGTGGACATGCGAGAACGCCATGCCGCCCATTGCTCAGGCTGCCCAAAGATCTTGTGGCCACCAACACTAAACCGTAAACCTGTATCACTGTATGTGTAGGACTTGGTAACTAGTAGTCGGGTCCCAACAGAATGAGTCCGCACTGAAGGATATTGTAGGAAATGGATGAAATGGATGGAAATGGTATGGGTCAAATTTGTCAAGCCCGCAGATGGGCCAAATTTGACCTATCTCAAGGCTGTGGAAGATGTCTCCCACAGGTGTTGAATAGCAAGCTGCAGGGCAGGGAGCAGAAACTCACTGCCAGCGTGCACCTCTCTGTCGTGCCCAAATCCTCGGGAGTCGGCCGTGCCGAGCGGCATGAGCGGCATTTGGTGGCTGCCATCAGGTTGTCAGATGAAATCCAGGACTAGCCAGCTGTTGTTAGTGGTTTCAACATGTTGCTGGGCCCTGGGATTATTATCCTGATTGACTTTTGCGTTTCTACGTGTTTCTCAAGGGTCTGACACCAGGATGCTGAGCTGGACCAAAAAGGTGCCGTCTTCCAGGATTTCAAAGTCAACCAGCGGCAAACATCCGAACAGTCGACTGGTACCAACGTTTCTGATGCTCAAACTCACTGTGACTCGGCAATGGTTGGAAGATCTTGCGGTCTTTGGCCTACATGTCTCTCTCTCTCTCTTTTCCCCTCGCGATCTATATCTATGCATGTATCTCCAGATGGACGGACGGATGTGCTATGTCTGAAAAGAATGGAAGAAGGATTTACTCATTCTTAGCAGCAACAGCATCTTCCAGCTGGTCAGTTTCTGCTTCCATGGTCGTTTCAGTTTAGATAGGCGCTACACAATGCATTGACGATTTCCTTGAAGCGGACTTGCCCAGTCCTTTCCTTTACACAGAAGCCGAGGCGACACAGATTCGACCAATTCAGGCATCGTGGCTAACCTGGCAGACCTTCGCAAGTTGGGAGCATCGCTGGTCCTCCACGCCTCGGCAGATGAGGAAGCCAGTAACTGGGGACCCTCCCTGGTCACCGATGACGCCTTGTCGCATCTGGGTGCCATGGCAGAGCAGGAGGCTGCCTTCGTAAAGGGTAAGGTGGCGATGGATGCCCGGCTGGTTGGAACTTGGGAGGGGAGTACCAGCCACGAACTCGGAGGCTACCACCAGCGAATCGAATTCAAGAACGACTGCGTGAATGCAGAGGTGGGGACAGGATGGGAAATATTCATTACACATCATTACACTATTATATTCTAATATATTAATGTGGTAAACCAACAATAATTAACCCCCCAAAATCACAATAAATGGTGCTGCCCCAAATGGTAGATTTATTATTGAGTTTCCCATATTATGATCCTTTATACAACCCCAAAAGTTTGCAAAGGTTGTCGGTTCCGGTAACAAAAAGTAACCCAAGGTCAAAAAAAAGAGGCAAGGTTAGAAAAAAGTAGTCCAAGATCAAAAAGAAGAGTTGCCCATTGATGGATGCCAACCAAAACTGGCTCCAAACCAGCTTTGGGGTTTACAGTATCTCAAGCCATTGCCATGGAGGTCACGGTCATGGGACAAACGCTGCCCGCACACATCAGCATGAATTGCTCAGTGGAGCCACACCGACTTGACATTGAAGTCATCCCTCACGGCAGCAACTCGCTTCTGTTTTGGAGCATTTTTGGAGGCATTTTGTGTTTCCATCCTGATGGCCATGGTGACATCGATTCCTGCCTTTTTTATTCAAAGTCTTGGGGCTGTTGCTTTGGCCCAGTTTTCCTGAGGTGTCATGGCACCTCCGCCCATTCCATACATCTTCAAAATCGTGGGTGATTCCTTGCACCTTTGCGGTCCTGCCGACAGCAGCATGAAGCGAGCGAAGGCCTTTGAAGGGCCAGGGCTTTGCATCATGGAACGTGTGACTGGGATAGAAAAAAGGGTAGTGCGGATCGGGTTGGGAAGAATGGGTCATTCTGGCCTGAAGCCAAAAGGACATTTTTTCTGTTCCTATACTTATCCAAAACATTCCAATGATGAGAGCTTCCCTCCAAGGCACCATCAGTTGCCTCGCCAAGGTCAGCTTGCCAGAGCTGGAGCCGGAATGGAGCAGGACAAGCTCACCCGCATCGGAGGCGTTCCCAAGGGTCCAAGTGTGGGATGGCGGTTCGGGGAAGGTCCCAGCGGGCCTAGCTTGACCAGCTAGTAGTACTGTTTGTTTCGGACCTAGGGAAATTGACATTTCATGGAAATTTCCGTCTGGAAAGTTGACAGATCCAGCTCATACTCTTGGATGTGGAAAGCGGTTCTGTTTGCAATTGAACGGTTCATTTCCATGCGGGAAAGCAATTGGGGTAAGGCGGTACCTTTAGCGTTTAGTATGCGTCTCACAGACATTGGATTAAGCATGCTAGACCTTGGATCATCTACTAACGCTAGCGTTAAGTCGTATCAGCTCGTAAAAGTCGTATCGGGAGGCCGTGCGCCTGGAAAAAGTTCAAGTTTGGCATCACCACAACTTTTAGTAATTGAACGATTTCATTGTTTTGGGGCCGTGCGCCTGGAAAAAGTTCAATTTTTGTATTGCGTTTATTTTGAAAACTTATTCTGATCATTCTTTCAAGGGGGCAAACGCTGGTTGTTGCTTGCTTGCTGCTTGCCTGCTGCTTGCCTGCTGCTGGCTGCTGCTTGCTGCTGCTTGCTGCTGCTTGCTGCTGCTTCTTGCCTTCTTCTTGCCTTCTTCTTGCCTGCTTCTTGCCTGCTGCTGCTTGCCTGCTGCTGCTTGCCTGCTGCTGCTTGCCTGCTGCTGCTTGCCTGCTGCTGCTTGCTTGCCTGCTTGCTCGCATAAATGCACCATTGATCACCATTGTATAAATGCACCCTTGTCCACCACAGTTTTTGATATGCAACCCTTCTGTCCAAACCTGACTTGTGAATCCGGAGTTCCAGTATGAATCAAAACACACTGCGCATGAGATTCTGGCAGGGGTATTCTTGAGAAGCGGAGTTCACATGGGGATTTGCTCAAGTGGTTTGGGCAGGCCTGAAGTATCAGTAAAAGCCAGCGTTCCATGGGAACGGTGAATCATCAACCAAATATGTTTAGTAGTTTGGGTACCGGCGTTCCATTGGAAAGAGGCTTCTGGAAATGAGTTTTTTCACGTCTACAAACCGTAAGCGTTAAAGCGCTTCCATTGGGCTTCATAGTCCAGGCCTTGCCTTTTCTGACTTAGCCGCGACCACGGCGTTCCATGCAGGACCACATATTCTAGCAAAACCGGTCCTGCAGATTTAGATATCCAGTAGTAGCGATTCCATGCAGGAAAGCCTATGAAGACATAGAATTAGCAGAATTATTCCATTAGCGTTTCAGTAGGAACCAACATCTCCAGTAACACTTTGATGTAAATATTTGGCCCCAGCGTTGAAGCGTTACCAATAGGATTTCTGATCCAGGTCCCGCCTTTTCTGACTTAGACGTAACCGGTGCGTTCCATGCAGTTGTACCAACCCCGCGGTGTTTAGTCCTGACTTCAACGTTTGCCTGTAGCCAGTTTATCATTTTGGATGTGCATCTCAGTTGGCATGTGGGGTTACTGAGTCATGAACAACCGTTACAATGAGTCTGAGCCCATCTACCCATAGCAGCCATGTTCACAACCCATTTCTAGCCCATTTGTCAAAGAATGCAATTTCGTGGCCATGCTTGCAGCTCCTTTACATGAAATCATCTATGTATCATCTTTTTCATATTTATCACACAGGCACACAGAGAGAGATATATATATAATCATGATATAATTTATCCACTGGAATTTCATGGGGATAGCCCCCCAGTTCTCCAAATGGGGGAAGCCCAAGAACATCCCGTGTTTTGGTCGTTCTGCCAGGCCGCTGCAGCTGCAAAGCCTCCACCGAAGCCGGCGAAGAGTTGGGCATCCGAGCCAATATTGGCTGCATCGCTAACTCTAGCCGTGACCAGCACCCTGATTGCCTTGCGCAAATCCTTATGAAGGACTTGATGCTGTTGAGAGATGTATATATATGTATATATATATATATATGATATGTATATTCTTATCTATCGTAACATATCGTAACTGAATCTGAATGGCTTAATTGCGGTGAAATCAGTGAAATCTCTGCATGTCGTGAGCAGTTTTTGACATGAAGTCCTCCAATGCTCCCCCCATCCAATTCAGACAGCTCTGCTGAGCAATTTCCAGCAGGAGTTTCCGAAGTGAAGAACTGTCCCGAACATTGCCAGGGGTTGTTTCAACTTGACCATCAATTAGGGGTAAGATTCAACTTGACTAAGGGTACAAGATTGTAGGAAAGTCGCTGCTTGGAGAGACAGAGAGGGGTAATAAACGTCCAGCATTTTGATTGGAGTTGTGTATGCACAGCCAAGAAAGAAACCGGAAGACAGACAGGTTGGATGATGTCTCCCAGCGAGTGCACCCTACAGCCTGCGCATGGCTTTTGTTCCTACGTATCCAACTCTGCTGGGAATCGCGAAGCTGCACACAAAATGAATCGCTGATGCAAGGTTCATTTTCTTTGCTTTAGCCATTTGTTTTGCATTACTGCAACCGTCCTGGGAGGCGCTTGTGCAGTTGTTTGTCGCAAGGGACCACCAGGGATCACCGGAGAAATTTGAATCAGTCCGGCGCTTGGAGCATGCTTCCCCTCGTGGCCCCATCACGCAAGAAGACTTGCAGTGACTGGGGCGTGCACGAGGGAGAGTGCTCTCCCATATTTTTAAAACAGATGGGCACCCTGCAAACTCTTGTGGCAGGTGGTTTCAAGATGTTTCACATGTTGCTGCTTATTTTCGACTTGTGGTGCCGCACAAGAAAAATCCACAGCATTATAATCATTCGAAGGCATTCTTACTTCCTGGCAATTTACTATTGCAATGGAAAATCGCCATGTTAAATAGGCAAGTCACGGAGAATCATCACACTAAATGGGCGTATATGGGCATTTTCCATAGCCATTTTCAGTTAGTGACTAGTGGGGGGGGGGTTGGCTGCCAATATTTCCAGAATGGGTTGAAACCTCTCGCCGAATTATTTGCAATATGTTTGAAGCTGACTGAAGTTGGCGCTGTTGGCCAGCCCGGCAAGCGTTTGTGTCCCTATAGGGCCGCAGAGTGAATGGCGAAGTGATATGATCCAAGCAGCTACACGGTCCTAAGTGTGTTTGAATGATCTATGATAGTGTATATGGTCTAATATATTCTAATTTCTAATTTCATATTACATTATAAGTAAGTATATTATATTGGATCGCTACATTGCATTTGCAGACACACATACACACATACATACATACATACATACATACATACATACATACATACATACATACATACATATATATATATACTTATGTAGTATAATCTATTCTATTCTATTATGTTATATGTTATATAATCTTATTTTATGTCATATTGTAGTGCATTATATTCAATTGCCTGCGGCAAGCCCGCCGGCCATCGAGAGGTGGCCCCAAGGGAGTTTGATATGCACTCTAGGTGGAAGCCGGAGAGAGAAGCAGAAGAGAAGAGAAGAGGAGAAGGAGAAGGAGAAGGAGAAGGAGAAGGAGAAGGAGAAGGAGAAGGAGAGGGAGAGGGAGAGGGAGAGGAGAGGGAGAGGGAGAGGGAGAGGGGAGAGGAGAGGAGAGGAGAAGAAAGGAGAAGAAGAACAGAGGAGAAGAAGAACAGAGGAGAAGAAGAACAGAGGAGAAGAAGAACAAAGGAGAAGAAGAAGAAGAGAGAAGAAGAAGAGAGAAGAAGAAGAGAGAAGAAGAAGAGAGAAGAAGAAGAGAGAAGAAGAAGAGAGAAGAAGAAGAGAGAAGAAGAAGAACAGAGGAGAACAAGACCAGAGGAGAAGAAGAACAGAGGAGGAGAAGGAGAAGAAGAAGAAGAAGAAGTCGAAGAAGAAGAAGAAGACGAAGAAGAAGAAGAAGAAGAAGAATATGAAGACGAAGAAGAAGAAGAAGAAAAAGACGAAGAAGAAGAAGAAGAAAGAAGAAGAAGAAGACGAAGAAGAAGAAGAAGAAAAAGACGAAGAAGAAGAAGAAGAAGATGAAGAAGAAGAAGACGAAGAAGAAGAAGAAGAAGAAGAAAAAGCAGCGACGAAGACAGAACCCGTAGATCAGAAGGAACTTGAGTCGCAAGTGCCTACTTTAACAACGTACTGACTGCATACCAAATGAGTACCGGTACCGGTCGATCAGTTCAGTACTGTGCAAGCCCTGTGACTCGTACCGGTAGACGTCTGTAGTGCTGTGGACAGTTTCATTAGCTACTGGCACTACCGGTTTAGTAGTTGAGGAAGAAGGTAGGAATAGGAGAAGAAGAAGGAGTAGGAGTAGGAGTAGTAGGAGTAGTAGAAGTAGATAGAAGTGGTAAGAGTAGTACGAGTAGTCGGAGTATATAGTTGGAGGAGTAGCAGGAGGGTAGGGGCAGTAGGAGTAGGAGTAGTAGGAGCAGTAGGAGCAGGAGTAGTAGGAGTAGTAATAAGAATGATAGTAGTAGTAGTAGTAGTAGTCGTCGTAGTAGTCGTAGTAGTAGTAGTAGTAGGAGTAGGAGTAGGAGTAGGAGTAGGAGTAGGAGTAGGGAAGGGCGGGGGAGGGGGGGGGCAAGGGGGGGAGGACGGGGGTGTCGGGAGGGAGGGGACGGAGAGAGAGGAGGGGGGTGGGAGAGGGGTGGAAGGGGGGGGCTGGACATGATTCAGATGAAACAAAAACGCGTAGCAAGAGAACAGGGAACAAACACAAACCAAGAACAGCAACAGGAACAACACCTTCCAATCAGACACGCCGGCACGCCGACAGATTGTGCTATATTACATTCATTTATATTCCATTGTATTATAGGAACTAGAGCATACAATATAATTACCTATAATTGTATCTCTCTCGCCAATGAATGGGCCATTGTAGGTGATAATTTTAACACGTCGAGAGTGTTGTTTTAGTGACCATGACAACGCTATACAAGACAAATAACATGGATGCAGTCTACAAAGTTTTGAATTCAACCCAGTTGCAGGGCCTTGGGACATGATTGGACCGGAGCATGGGCTCGTTCTTAGCTCGACCAGTCAGCACTTGCATCAAGGGCATCTAGCTCCTGCAAGCAACTGCCGAATCCTGTGGGGAATCCAAAATGCTTCTCAGAGAAGGTTGGGACTCACTGAGGAAATCCTAGAACAGTGGAGGCAGAGCGCGAAACCACAAGACAATTGTGGTGACGTGCTGACTTTCAAGCAGTTGACATGGATAGGACAAGGTCCCAAGATATACCTAGACTAGGTGATCACCTTAGTTTTCGGCAATTTTTTATACATACGCTCAAAAACGAAATGCGGTTTTTGGTTGTGTGTTTTCTCGTTTCTGGGGCCTGCTGCGGCACACCGGACAGCTGCCCTGCATTGGCTGCATCACTGCATGCTGTTCACTTGTGATGCATTGGGACAGGGTCAAAATGTGTGTTGCTGGATGTTGCTGGGCATGCGAGAGCAAGATGCCGTGCATGTTGACATTGTGAACCAGGGGGCTTGACTAGCAACAGGACTGGCACGAACCTCGGTTGGAGTACACTTGTCGCCCAGCGGTCAAATCTGGTTCTTTAGCTGCTCTGGCGACAAACTTCAAATCAGCACAGAAACAGTTCCCAGCAGATTTTGTTCCCAGCAGCCAGTAGGCCACCCCAACCTCATCTCAGATCCATTCCACGGCGCGGCCACGCGGCCATGGTTCGTCATGGCAGAGGCCACAGCTGGTGCCTACTACAGTGGGCCATTGCAGTTGATCCAAATCGATGAGGCTCCCATGGCAATGTGATATTTGCTATGGTCAGGATTGGTCAAGTTACAGTAATTAATTAGAATAAAAAAACATATCCACCAATTATATCATATGGCATCCCCAATCTCAGATTATATTGGAGTTTTGTTTTGGTTGGTCTTGAAATAAGAGCCTTGGCTGACTTGGCTGCCCGTTTTTTTTTAGATCCTGTGAGGATGGGAAGTGTCATTTGCAAGAGAATGCTGTGGCGATCCTGAATCAGATTCCTGGACGACTGGCAGTGGTGGGCATTGCCGGCTTGTATCGAACTGGAAAGTCCTTCCTTTTGAATCGGCTGTTGGGTCTGCAGGATGGCTTTGAGATTGGCCCCAGCGTGAATCCTTGCACCAAGGGTCTTTGGATCTGGGGCCAACCAGTACAGTTGGCGCCGGACTACTATTGCATCCTCATTGATACGGAGGGCTTGGGCTCAACACAGCGAAGTGCCAGCTGTGACATGCAAATTCTGTCGCTCTGCATCTTGCTGTCGTCCTATTTTATCTACAACTCCATTGGTGCTATCGATGAACAGGCGGCTCCGACTGCAACGGCAAGATGATTATTTGGGAGTTGTGGTCAGTGCAAGGCGTTGACAGGAAACCCAGGATGAATCATAGACATAATTACTATGATAAACTACTTACTGGAATGAAGAAAAACAGTGAATGAATGAACATGTAACTTCACGAAATGAGTAGAGATGAATGAACGGAGACACACGTAAACACTACAAGTAAACCAATCAATCTGTCTATCCATCTATCTCCTATTTGTTCATCCATCTATCCACCTTTCCACCTTTCCACCTTTCCATCTCTCCATCTCTCAATCTCTCCATCTCTCCATCTCTCCATCTCTCTACCTCTCTATCTCTTTCTCCTTTATCTTATCTTTGTCTTTATCTCATCTTTATCTTTACCTTTATCTTATCTGATTTGTCCGTCCTGTCCTTCCTCTCCTTCCCATCCTTCCTATCCAATCTATATATCCCATCTATATCATCAATCCAATCGATCTAATCCGTCTAACCTGTCCAATCTATCTAATCTATCTATTTTATCTAATCCATGTAAGTTGTCCCGTCTTATCTCGTCCTATCTTATCTCATCTTATCTCGTTTTTATCTCATCTTATCTTATCTGATCTGATCTTACCGGATCTGATTTCATCTAATCTAATCCAATCTAATATATTTCAATCTATTCTAGTCTATTCTATCCTAATCTAATCTCATCTTATCCATCTAATCTCATCCAGTCTCATCTAACCTCTCCTAATCTCATCTAATCTCTCCTAATCTCATCTAATCTAGTCCAATCTAATCTAATCTATCTATCTACCGTGTATATTTGTGTATATACGTAGATTTGTTTGAGCTGCATGTGAGCAAAAGATTGGGACCAGTTTTTTTTTTTGGGTCTAAATTCACCCAGCAAAAACGTCTCGAAACCTCTGAGGCCATCGACGAGCTTCACCTGGTCCTGAACCTTGCAACACATATCCATGTGAAGAGCAGAAGGAAAAATGAGGACCGTAGCTATAAGGATATCCGTTGGATTTTTGGCCGTTAAGGTCGTTAAGGTTTAAATGATGTTCCGTGGCAATTTTTGGATCACAATCATGGCAATCACAATAAATGTGGTATTTTCATGTGGTAAATGTATATTTTTGGTTTACCCGCGGGGGTTGAACCACCAATAAGAGGGTAACAAATATTAAATCACCAATTTTGCTGAGTGTTTCTAGCAAAGACATACTTGGGCAAGAACCTGTGGCAAACGGGAACAAAGTATTTAGGCAAGTCAAAAAAACAGATGTTTGCATGCTTTTGTTTGGGAAAGTATGCAGACTATTTTGACTGTCCCACCGAATCACCCTTGTGGGATTTGGTTTCCATGCCGGGTCCTTCATGAATTGCATCAGACCCTTTGAATCATCGCGCTGAAATCTTACTCAAGGAGCTGTATGATTCCGCAAGCCCCAGAATTGGAAAAGGTCAAGTGAAGAGAGAGAGAGAGAGATAGCGGCACACACACACACAGATGTGTGTGTATATACATATTATGTATATTTATGTATATATATATATGTACATATTTGTATACATATTTGTATACATACATATTTGTATACATATTTGTATACATATTTGTATACATATCTTTATACATATCTGTATACATATCTATCTATCTATCGATCTATCTATCTATCGATCTATCTATCTATCGATTGATCTATCTAACTATCGATCTATCGATCTATCCATCTATCTATCTATCTATCTATCTGTTTGTCTGTCTGTCTGTCTATCTATCTAATTAATCTATCTCTCTCTCTCTCTCTTTCTTTCTCTCTCTCTCTCTCGATATAATATATATATATATATATTGCAGACACACACGCACATGTACCGCGAAACCGAATATCAGAAGAACATTTTTCGAACAATTTGAACAAATGAAAGGTGTTCAAACCTTGGGCCATTTGTCATTCTCTGCTGGGAGGAAGAGAAACGCGCTGATCTCTCGCAATACTTCCCCATCTTTCTGTGGGTGCTTCGTGACTTTCACCTCACCTTGCAAGATGAAGAAGGTGCAGCAATCACTGAAAAGGAATACCTGGAGAGAGCTCTAAGGCTTGTACCTGGCCAGGAGGAGATGAAAAAATGTTGCAGCTCCACGTAGCACATATATGCACATATGTCCCTCCGTTAACTGTGAGCTTCGCGGTGATCATATCTGTGGGAAACCTGAGAAAATTCACAAATTCCCAAGGCGTCGGAAATATGGGAAATATGGGAATTCTTGCAGGACCCCCCAAATTAACCATAGTAAACCCATTTATTTTCAGGTCGATGTGCCCATGCCCAGCGAATAAAATCCAAACTTAGCCAAGTTTTGGGAGGAGAAGAACCAGCTGAGGGAGGTGATCAAAGAGCTTTTTCGCGAACGGGACTGCGTGACCATCGTTCGGCCTGTGGCGGATGAAGCGGAGCTGAGGAACATTCAGAACGTGGCTGGTTCAACAGTTCCGCGTCATGTCATCTTTTTAAACAAACAACCAGGGGGATAGGATATGACCCAACATAAAGAGAACCGTAGGCCGTAGGGGTCCATGGATTGGTTGGTGGCTTCATTTTTTCCGACCAATGCCTAATAGGGATCTTTGACTGGTTGGTGAGTTCTTTTTTGTATAATTTGAATTTCCACTTCTCAGAATGAGACAATCATCCCAGTAGGTGGAGTATGAAAAGCTGCGGCCGCAGTTTCGCACTCAAGTGGAGGCACCGGAAGATGGGGTGAAGGTGCTGAACCTTTCCCGGGGACTACCCACCATATTTCTATGGGAGATTTTGACCAACATAACCCAGCAGCTAGGATGAGAAGACACTATGTGGAACACTTGACCTGGACGCAACTACAAGATAAGTGTTTTGTTCGGGTGTGTGTGTGTGTGCGTCTATAAATAAATAAAATTAACAGAGACTGTATGTATATATATATATGTGTGTGTGTGTAGGAACAACATGATACTGTAAGTAAACAAGCAAACGCACACACACATACACACACGGATAATTATACGTATACACAGCACATAGAGAAGAGAGAGAGCGAGAGAGAGAGAGAGAGAGCATACAGAGCACCATGGAGTTGTTGGTTGTTGGAGATCAAGATGATGAGTTTTCAGGGTCCCACGGTTCTGGTCAGTGTCGAGGCCTTTGTAAAGAAGGTCTACACCAATCTGAAGCCCAAGAAGATTGATGGAGCCGTAGCCTGGCTGTCTAGATGTCTGATGATGTCTGCCTATCTTTGCAGTATCTTGCAATCCAACGTGCTGAAACAACTGGCCTCCTTGACGTTGTCCTTGGAATACCTGTATCTTTTTGTATCGTTTTGTCTTCACTTTAATTCCATCTTTTACTTCCATCTTCTGGCCTCAGGTTGTTTCCGGAAGTATGTTTGTGGACCTTGCTGCGGAGTACTGTAAAGCCATCAACAGCAGTGTGGTGCCAACCATCCACACCGCTTGGGCCTCCGCCATCCAGCACCAACTACGCTTGAGCCTGCGAGACGCCGTGCAAGCCTACCGCACCAAGATGAACGAGCACGCCATGCAGCACCTGCCGATGTCTGAGGACAAGCTCCGTGACGCGTTTGAATGGAGGGCCAGAGGCGGTGCTCTGTGGAAGTTGGGAGCTCCCTAGTTTCAGCAGCAATGCTTAGCCTCATGAAATCTGACCATTTTAGCTCAAGTTTTGAAGCTCTTCAATCATGTGCTTTTGTCTCAAACTTCAAGATGCTGCACCCCCACATGGCCTTTAAACACTTGCAAAACCGATGATACGCCGAATGAGAGAATGAGGGGTTCCAATTTTTTCTCATCATGTATCCAACCATATCCATCCATATCCAACCCAACTTCCGGCAGTTTCTTTTTCGGGGAAAGCAGCAGCTAAGGTGACCTGCATAAGGTGGCCAAGGCTGAGGCCCTGAAGATTCTGCTCGCCACCAAGTTGGACAGCGACCCCAGGCGGATGCAGGGCCAGGGGCCAGGCAGTGCACCATTTGTGGATGAATGGGTCATGAAACGTCACCTGAAATGTCATCATATGAAATGTCATGAATATGATGTGAGAACATACGATATAGGTGAGATAAGACTTGGTGGATTTGAACTCTGGCTTGGGGGTCATCATGGGTCATCCTAGCAACCTCATGTTGGCTGAGCGGCCCAAGATGTCCCTCCAAGCAGGACCCAAGTCGTTCACTGCCGCACGACAGGTTTCGAGAGAGCCGGAGTCAATTTGCAACCAGGGTGAAGCAGCTGTTTGAGCATGTGAGGATGGAGAACTCAAACGTTTCACAGCGTCAATGTGACAAAATTGCAAGGGAGCTGTTGCTTGGCTGTAATGTTACATGCAGGAAGGTTTACTTCCCTCAGCGGGGAGTACCAATGAACATACGACAATGCAAGTTGAGTATTCTTGATGAAACTGCCACTGCACACCCAATGAGATCATGAAGTTGTTTTCCAGTGATGTCCCCTAGTAGGGTCCCCTAGGTTCAAGTCCATTGAGCAGAAGTTGCAGGCCAAGGGTACGTGCCGAGGCTTCTTTATTTGTTTGACCAGTTTGAGAGGGTTTTAGGCTGATTTCTCGTACGCCCATATACTGTATTGGAAATTAGGGCAAGTATTGGGTCCTCAACGACAATAACACAATGCCAATTGTTTTTGGCCTTGTTTTGGGTGCGCCCTGGAACCTCGAATAGCTCCCCAAATAGTGTGTCCACACTGAGGGGTTCTTACGGTAGGTGTTAAGGCCCGGTGTTCAATCGAGATGGTATCGAAAGCGTCCGGCATTTTCCTTGTAAATTTCTGCACAAAATGCCTCTTGTGACATGTCCATGTGCTTTTAGACTGCGCAGGCTCGCACAAAATAGGTGTCGCGGGATCTGCGTCCGGCATTTTCTCTTTAAATTTCCGCACAAAATGGCTCTTCTGACATGTCCATGTGCATTTCGACTGCGCAGGCTCGCACAAAACGGGCATCGCGGGCTTGGCGTACAGCGCTTTTCCGGTTAATTTCCGGACAAAATGGCTCTCGTGAAATGTCCATGTGCATTTAGACCGCGCCGGCTATTGAATATTTCAAAAGGAGAAATCTCATACAGTCATACAGAAATCTTGCCAAAAGACGTCTTAGAGGCAGCTTATGCAGAGATCTTGCTAAGAGACCTCTCATGGAGACCTTGTTCAGAGATCTTGCCAAGAGACACTTTGCAGAGATCTTGCCTGGAGATCCTGTGCAGAGACCTGGTGACGAGAGCATCGGTCTCCCTCGGAGAGCATTTCTAGATACCTTGAACAGAGATCTTTCTTTGAGATCCCTTACAAAGAGCTTCTGTGGAGATCTCCTATAGGCATCTTGTACAGATAGCCTTATACAGGGATCTTGGGCAGCAGCTTCTACAGAGAACCTCTTCTGCCGAGATCTTGGCAAAGGGAGCTTGCAGAATCTGACCTGGTATCTTTTTTTTCCCCCAAACAGTGTGTCCACACTGAGGAGTTCTTACGGTAGGTGTTAAGGACCGGTGTTCAATCGAGGTGGTATCGGAAGCGTCCGGCATTTTCCTTGTAAATTTCTGCACAAAATGCCTCTTGTGACATGTCCATGTGCATTTCGATTGCGCAGGCTCGCACAAAATGCTGGCCCCGGGAGAAGCGTCCGGCATTTTCTCTGTAAATTTCTGCACAAAATGCCTGTTCTGACATGTCTATGTGCATTTAGACTGCGCAGGCTCTGGCCGCGGGAGAAGTGTCCGGCATTTTCGCTGTAAATTTCTGCACAAAATGCCTTTTCTGACATGTCCAAGTGCATTTCGACCGCGCGGGCTCGCGCAAAACGGGTGTTGCGGGCTTGGCGTACGGCACTTTTCCCGTAAATTTCCACACAAGTTGCCTCTTGTGAAATGTCCCTGTACATTTTGACTGCGCAGGCTCGCACAAAGTGTGCTTCCCGGTCTTCGGAGCGGTCTTCCTCCTCATCATCATCTTCTTCCTCCTCCTCCTCCTCAACATCTACATCATCATCTTCCTCTCATCATCATCATCATCATCATCATCATCATCATCACCATCATCATCAACAACAACATCACCATCATCATCAACATCATCAGCAGCATTAACATCATCATCAACATTTTTTTAAATATATACATGATCTTTTTACTCCCCCCACACTGTTTGGGGTCTCTTGCCGGGATAATGTTTTTTAACTTCTCCAAACCGTGGCAGACCCAAAATGCCACTGCAAATGATCCGTCACTTGTCCATACTTATCCATGAAACCATCTTTGGGAAAGCGAGGAAGGGTCCCTGCCACTGAGGTACCAGGGCTTCAACGACCTTCTGTCTGATTGGGAGCAGTTGAAGCAGCTCTATCTCCAAAAATCAGCTGGGCCTTCCAAGTTGGAGGTGCTCAGTGGCTGGTTGAATCAGCAGCTACTGCAGGCAGCGCAACGGCTCTGGGAGGAATTCGAACTGGCCATGGAGGAGCGGAAGAGCCAACTGCGGCAGCAGCTGGCAGAGAGTGAGGCGCGCATGTTGCAGGTTAAGGCACCAGATGAAGCACAGAGGCGGGGGCCGCTGGGAACGCGCCCTTTGAAATCACTAGGGGAAACCTAGGGGAATCATTCCCATCAGGGTTGAGCTGGAGAGCAGCGTTGCCAGAGAAGAATTGTAAAACGATGAATGAATACCCGCTTTCAAATTGGATGATTTGGACGTTCTTTTGACTTCTTCGATGTCAAAACACCATTCAAAACTGTGAATCCATAACACAACTGCTGCTTTGCTTCCACACACTGAGTGTGATCATGATCACCGTCAAAAGTTTTTTTTGGACTTGTTGCAAATCTCGTGCTGCTTTGTATATGAAATAGCACCCACACCGGATACAAACATAGAACCTCAGCAACGAGTGGAAACCTTCATTAAAAAAATCATCATCTTGCTGTTGGGGATTGCCCAGCCATATTGGGGCCTAATTATCCCAACATATCCCAAGCTTCCGACTTCATCGGCTATGTCTAATTTGATAGCTTGTATCATCTTGTATCCTGTTCCAGGTTGGTTGGCCCTTTCAGGCAATGGCTCTCCGAGCGCTTGGACCTGGAGAGGCGTTTGGACGAAGCAAAGAGGCCGGGCTGGGCGATGTGGGGATGGTGCCGGAGAGATTCGGAAAATCTAAAGATTCACAGTGATTCACTTGCAGATAATCTCAGATCAGGTTCCGGAAATCCTGAAATATCCTGAAATGGCTGTGTAGCATCTTACTGGAGCCGTGGGGTCAGGCAAGACAATCTGCAGCAAACAAGGGTAGAAGTATCTAGTCTGTACGTTGAAGAGTATAGCATTTGCCGATGCTGGGCCGAGAAGCAACATAGACAAGTCTAGTTCGAGTCTAGCGATTTCAGAGCTGGAAGACCTCGTTGGGTCCGCTGGAGGAATGCTGAGTCTGTCTCCCAAAAAGCTGCGCGAGAGAAAGCCCAACTGCTGGATTCAGAGCGAACGCTTCGGGAGCAGATGAAGATCATGCAGGACATTGGATAGCAATCTTCTGTCCACTCTATAGCTGTGTTTATGTCTATGTCTGTGTCTGTCTACATGCATGTCAATATGTGTATATCTGTATATAAATATGTGCAGATGTATCGGGATACTTTGTTCAAGTCCTTCAGATGTTGCCGACATTTAAGCCCTTCCGTTCCGACTTTCAGCCCTTTCATGCTAGTCCCCTTGCTTGAGCTTATGGCGACTTCCCTTTCCAAATCCAGTCCATTCCGAAGCAGCGAACCACGCACGTCATCAGGGGGCTTGTGACACGATGACAAATTCGTCCATGAAACTTCTATGTTGATAAAATTCCTGTAAAAAGCACTAAACCAAAGTACGCACACACACACATAACACACACACACATACATATATATATATGTACATACATACACACCCACACACACACATGTGTGTACATATATATATATGTACATACAAATACAAATACACAGAGAGAGAGAGATACATATATACTGTCTACATATGAATACATATAAGTATGATCATATGCACCCGTATGCACAGATATCTGTGTGCTGTTCTCAGGACAGGTTGAACTCTGAGCGTCGGGTCCCAGCACTGGAGACAACTCCCAGCATGGCTAGCACAACCAACTCGGAGATTCAAAACCTCAAGGAGATGAGGGAAATTTTGTGTTGCAGTGTTGCCTCATTATTTCTTAGTCTTTAGCATCATTTTCCCCACTAAGTTGTGGCAATACCATGGCGTAGCCAGCATTTTGAGACATCAGATAGACCAATTCGGCAGCGGGGGTGATAAATGTCTCCCATTTGACATTTTTCGGATTTTTAGATCACCTGAAGGTGGCTCTTTGACAAGCTGTTTGAAGTGCTCAGCCGAATTGGACAATGGGAAATTTCGGCACGCCCGTCAGAGAATCAACATTAAAACTGCTGCCGGGAGTCTGGAGTCACCAAAATAGATGCATTCTATAAGAGATTTCACAGTTTCTTGGTCACTTCACATCCTTAAGGCTCCTGGCAAACTTCAGATTTGGAGTATTTTTGGGGTATATATGGTATAATGGTATATCAATCCACCCAGTTTTCAAGGGGATTCTACCGATGTTTGGACCCATCCCCAGCTGCTTGGGGCTGCTTGGGGTGGAGGACTCAGTGGTGGCCATGGTGTCGGAGCTGCGAAGTAAGGAGCTGCAGAGGAACCAGATGCAGTTGCAAGTGGAGCATGACAAGCAGATGACCCTGGGTTTTCGGAGAACTTTTGGCTTGGCAAAGAAGGTATAACATGGTATAACATGTATAACCAAATGGGGTTCAAGCAACAATCTACAGCTGGCTGCTGGTTTCGGAACGTGTTAGATTTATTCTAGATGGGATGTTATTTCCATTCGTAGCTGATTTGACCGATACGGTTCGGGTCAGTTGAGAACACCAACCAACTATGCTGGGCTGATGTGGGTGCAACCAACCAACACTTCGGATATGAGCAAACCAACAATAAGGATAGTGATGTTTGTATTGTTGCATTTCCATGTGTTTCAATCTTGTTAGATAGACAATCCATTCCTCTTTGACGGCAAGTAAGGGCAACTCTTATTCGTAGTCCCCTTTATTGAAGCCCCCTATATTTTTTTCCATCCTACCCACTGGAGCTGTTTGGATCACATGCGGACTGAGGATGTCCTTGGAGCGCCGCTTCCAAAAGCAACTGCAAGAAGCCAGGTCCAGGAGCCCCCGGGAGCTGCCATTCTCTTTGCCACCTTTGATTTTTTGAATTTTGTGGGAATGGAATCAATTATCGAAACGGATCTAACATATTTCTAAAATGGGCAACGTCTCAACAGAACACCTTTTCGAAGTATTCCTTGGGAATCCCCGAGTGGCAGTGAAGCTTTTCTGAGGAAGTATGGCGGCTTTTTCCACAACGGGCCCCAGCACATCACCTGGGTGTGATCGAAAATGGTGTACCCACCAATCCCAGCCGAGGATCCTCATCCTTACCATCTACAGTGGCTATTTGGCGATATCTGGGGATACGGTATACTCATGTGTACTCCATTTTTGGGAAAATCAATGTCCGTTATTCATGGGTTAAAGAGTCGTTGAAAGTCCATTTCGTCAAAGCCTTAGTTCCTGAAGGTCAGATCATGTCAAATCCAAATTTTTGGATATGCTCACCTTGAAACCCGAAAGGAGCGAGCAGCTTCTAGAGAAGCTACGGCAGAGTTATGATGCGGAAGTGGACACCCTGAAGCGCTCGCAATCGGAGCTGCGGGATCAAAACAAGGTGCAGTGCTGGGGGGCACTGCACTGCAGTTCCGGAAAGAACATTTGAGAAATTTGAGAACCTCTGGTGATCGAATCTGGCGGTTGAATTTCCCCCCTCTGATCTCTTTCTGCCAGGTTGGATTACCAGAGGGTGTAGCAAGCTGTATCCCAAGGGGGTGAATGGGAAACCTGCAACAACCACGGAGGATCCCCAGGACTTTGAGCGACCCCGTGGGGGAAGTATGACCGACTGATTTGAAGCATCAAAACCAGGGTAGGTTTTGGCTGGTTGGTTTGCGGTGATGTTGAGATAGAAATAGAAACCCACCCATTGCCAGATTGAAGTACCAAAGGGCATGTCTATCAAACTGTACCAGCGCGCAACCTCATCATACCACTCTTACTCGCAGGCTACGTTCAATTAAGAAACTTCTAGATTGGCAAGGGGAAACGTCATGTTTGGCTGCATTGAGCCAAATTGGAGGACGATGGTTGCCCATGTCTTCAGCCACTTGAAACGGTTGGCTTGGAGCAACAAGACTTTGTACCAAGAAACATGTTTCAGTGCCCTGCCCTTACATAAGCAAACCCCAGAAACCCCGGCGGGATGCGCCATATATATGTATATATGTCTACTGGCTTCGGTTCACTTCTTCTAACGACAGGATTGAATCATTGAAGGCTATAGTTATGTGCTGGTATAGGTATATTAGTAAACAACCATATGAGCAAGTTAAGTTATATATATAGTTGTGTCCAAGGAGAGAACCAGCAAACATGAGTCACGATGGGTGCACCAAAAAAAGGCCAAATGGCAGCTGGGATTCTCAGGCAGCATGGACCAGCGTAGATGCTATTGACATCAACATGCAATAGATGGCAACAAACTATATATATATATATCAATATTTATTATATTAACATATATATATATATTATATCTAGATATGATCACGCTTAGAACGCCTTGGTTGGATCCTATGCAGGACTTGGAGCACAAGTTGAGCTATGCGCAGCAGGAATCCAAGTTGCTCAACCGACATCTCCATGAATCGGAGGAAGCGCGCCGCATTCAACAACGGCAGGCGCGCAGCATTGCGCAGATGGTTTTTTTTGGGGGGCATCCTGATGTCCTGATGTCCCAAAAAGATCAGGTCACTGATTTTGACGCGTGAAAAGGAAACGTGACATGTTACTCATGAAACTGGGTACCTAATTTGATTAAAAAGTACCTCAATGCCAGGAAACTAAGGATTTCCATATTTTAGTTTACCCCAGAATGGTGGTGAATTCCCAGAATTGGTTTAAGGGAAAATCTGCAGGAAACCCTTAGATGTGGGGGCAACGGTTTCGCATAGGTTTTCCCAACAACAGCAATCCCTTGATGGATTTCTATCCAACCAGGTGGAAGTGGCACAGCAACAGTCGCAGCTTCTCCTTGGGGCCCTGGAGAGATTGGGTGCAGGCGGTAGTTACTTTGGGATACCTGGAAAAGATAATAACATGGAGTGCCTGACTGTGCCCATGGAGAGAGAGAGAGAGAGAGAGAGAGGAGGCGATTTTCGAAATATTTTTTTTTTGTGTGTGTGTGGTGTGTGAGCAAGTGTGTTCCTTCCTCTCCTTGTGAGGAGGGGGGTTCAACATGAAATCAGGGCCACACAATGCGGAAAAACTCCCCTGGCGCCGGCGGCAGCCTGGCAGGCAAAGATTCTGACGAGAAGGAGCTACTGACTGAAACGCCATAAGTGGCGCGCTGTTGATATGTTGCCAATGGTCGAAAAGAGCCCAGGGTCTGCTGGATCATAAATATCATAAATGGAGGCAGCTTCACATGTTGACTAGTCGCCCGCAATTTGATGCATAGTGATTGTTGAATGCTGGAAAGCGTTGCCCTTGTCTGTAGACTCTTGGTAGACTCTTTGTAGGGTCTTCAAGTCTCTTCAATTCCTCCGATTCTTTTTGCTAAAGCCTGGCATGCCAGGCAGAGGACTTTCTGATTTGGTCCAAGTGCCAGAAGAACTGAGAGAGAAATCCACCTCATACGGCGCGACCCGGAGACGCAACGCCTTCCTTAATCTTTAGGTCATTGAATATACTGTAAGGAAATCGAGAGTTCGGGATAGCTCTTTGAGATACTACAGGCCTTCTGTTGGTCCTTCGTTGAGGGGTTAGCAAGATGCGGGCCTGCCGCTGTTGCTTCGTGTGGTTACTGGCAGGGTTTCAGTAATTGCACGGGTTGGCAAGCACTGACCCCTGTATATACGATGTATTGATGGAACGAAAACGACAAAACCATGAAGAACTCTCCTACTATATATTCACAATTCAATCATATTCAGTCCCTATAGTAATAGTGGAAGCCGTTCACCAGCTTGCCAGCCTTTCTCGAAGTTTCTTTGCGGCCGAGGGTGTGCTGTGTACATAGGATACTGATGGCCGGCTGACAGTTTGGCCGTGGCCGGTGGATCTCCCTGTTATGTAGTGGGCCGAAACCCGAGCCTGGTTGTAGAGGAACCTTCCCGTAAAGGAACCTTTCAACAGAAAAGTGCATTGATGCACTGAATGCCATGTGGGAACGGGGATGAATGGGGATGTTCCCTCAATTTCCAGTACCGGCCGGGTAGGCGTGATGATCGCTGACCCAAGACTGCTGCAGCTTTGTCCCCTTGAGGTCAGGCTCGCGAACCGTTGGGAAGCTCAAATCTGGAGAGGGGCGCTCACAGCGATGGCTGTGCTGGAATTGATCGGGATTGATCGGGGTGCATCTTGGCGCTTTTTTCCCGCATCACAGAGTCAAGGTTTTGGCTTTCGGCTGGGGGGCTTGCTTTGGCATACGGAATCACAACCTGCATGAGACTCATGTTGATGTGAGAGCTTCTAAAGTGCTGATGCGTGGAAGAGGCTGATACAATGTACAGGTATAGCCCATTTGACTCACCTGGACATGATGGAGAACTGCCCGTTGGGCCCTTAGATGCACAGATGTTTTGGGCCTAGCGAATGGACAGGCGGCCTCACCATGACGAACGATTTGGCAGCTTTTTGACGGATCATCCTTTGGTTCATCCATTGGTTCATCAATTGGATCATCCATAGGTTCGTTCATTGGTGCCTGAATTGGTTCCTGAATTGGTTCTTCATCATCATCATCACCACCATCATCACCATCACTTCTTTTATTTCCATGTTTCAGGATCCACTGTAGCAAGAATTCCGCCATTTGAAATTCCCTTTTGCCGTTTTGCCGGCAGAGGGCGTGGGGCCCTTTTTGTTTGTTGGGTATCACTGAGATAGGACGGCAGTGCCATGGGTGACCATACAGTGGAGTACTATGACATGGCAGCTAGTGATGCGGCTCCCGCGGATTCAACGACAGATGAAGCTCCGGGAGATGAAACTCTGGCAGATGTAGAACAAGCTGGGCCGCCTGAGGCGCCCCCCCGCTGGGCAGCGCCCTTGGCAGGTGCTGTGGCTGGTGGGTTGGGTGGTGCCATTGGTAGTGCCATTAGTGTGTCGTTGGCCCCTGTGACTGTATTGGCTGGTGTGGCAGTGACCGTGGCGGCCGGTGGGGCCTTGGTCACCAGGGCTCTGCGCCAAACAGAGGCTTCAAGTGCTGAAAGCACAGCAGTGCCAGAAACACCAGCGAACGCGTCAGAGCTTCAGCCGCTGGGCGACGGTGTGGACAGAAGCGTGCCAGCATCTCCAGGAAATTCGGTGGTTGGCAGTGAGGGCTATCAAGAGGCACCCAGCCAATCAAACCCTGAAGGCCAACCACTCCAAAGCTATGCAGACGGGCTTTTGGGGGAGCGATCCCTGATGGAGCGCCTCCGCCTCCTGCTACGGTTGCACGACAAGCGTGATGAAGCCGCCCTTCAGCAGTTTTGTGCCACTGAGGGGTTTTCTTGGCTTGGGGCTAGCAGTGGTGCAGGATGCTTTTTGCGACAGGTGGGTGAACTGAGGGAGGTCTTTTTCCTGGGTTCTGAAGCTGATTTTCAGAGCCGACCAGAGGCATTCACCACTTGTTGGCTGCATACGAATGCGCAAATTCAGCTGCAACCATTAGATGCTTTGATTTGCCCAGAAGCTACGATACCACGAGGGCATGTGCACACTGGCTTCCAAACCAGTTACCTCTCCATTGCAGATGAACTGCTGGAAGCTCTCCAGGAATCTTCTGGACCTGTTTGCCTCATGGGGTATTCTTTAGGCGGCGCATTGGCGACGCTGGCTGCCGTGCATTTGTGCTGCAGCGGTTTCACTCAGATCGATTTGATCACTTTCGGCAGTCCCCGTGTGGGAAATGAAGTCTTTCGAGATTGTTTCACCGACGCATGTGTAAGGCCCAACTATGTCCGCGTGGCCAGATACGTCAATACACTGGACATTGTTCCCCATGTGCCTTTTAACCCAGAGGATCTTGACTCCACAAGGCAAGGCCAACTATGGCGGCGTGTGGAAGAGGCATTGACAATTCCCCAGCAACAACTTGCCGGCAGCTCATCTCTCTATGGGAGCTATGTACATGTGGTGCCTGGAACAGTTCTAGACGGCCTTTCGAGCAGTGTGGCTGGAGTTGTGTCGCGCCTGGCCAACATGGCGGCCGAGTCGGAGCGTTTGCGTGTGGCTGCAGCAGTGCCGCTGGAATTGGTGGCTGAACATGGCCTAAACAAATACCTCAGCACCTTGCAGGAAGCTTCCAAGCCTGCATGGCTTTGCTTATCCAACCGGCTGCTGGCAGTCACCAGCCCGGTGCACAATGCCTTGCTACAGCTGAGGAGTCGGGAGGCCACAGTGGCCACTATGGCCATGCCCTCTGCTGCGTCGCCGTCCTCCTGGGGCATTGCCATGGCATCCGCCGAAGCGACATCTTCGGGCATCGTGGCTGGGCTGCTGCTGCCGCAGCTGCTGAGTTCAGCCGTTTCGGCCGTGGGCTGCTACTGCGTGGCCCAGAAGGTGAACCAGGTGTCACAGCATTTGCAGGACCACACGGCAGAGACAGCCAGGTGGGGTTGGGCTGGTTGGGATGGCCTGGGAGTCCAGAGTCTTGCCCCAATCCTTTGTTGCCAGTGGCACATCATCAAGTCAACACCTGCATACATTCGGAAGGGTTCCGAAATGGCATGCCGGCAGGTCCAGTGAGGAGTTGCAGCTTGAACTTCAGCAGCTGAAGCTGGAACTTTCGAACCTGGCTGGTGGTTTCATTTTGAAAATACGGTTTCAGTTTTCCTTCCTTGAACTTGATTATTCTAATTGACTCATAAGTCTGTAGATTTGATGTAGATAGATGGATGGATAGATAGATGTCTGTGCATACTATATGGGTAGCCCAGCCACCAACCAGGAATGCTCACAGCAGTGTGGTCTCCGCTTTGCAGAACCTCTCGGATCTCCTGCGCCGCCGGAGCTGCGAGGATTTGTTGCGCCGCAGCCGGGTGGCACAGCGCCACCTTTGGGAAGAAGTGGAGGTGTTCCTGGCCAACCCAGGTGAGGGAACCCCCGTTGGTGGTTGATGGATGTTGATGGTTAGAAGGTCTTGGAAGCGAAAGGTCGGGTGGTATAGGTATAGTCTAGTGTTATCTTCTCTATATACTTTTGACAGGTCATATGGTGGTAATGTTGTGCGAAAAAATATGGAAAATAAGGACTCAGCACACGTGCTTAGATTGGCCATGGGATTGGCTAACTGGCCAGTAGGTGGGTTATAATTCCCACAAATTCTGGCAATTAGAATCCATTTGCAAACCAGTCAACTAACAAACCATGGCCCATCCAAGTTAGTCCATCTTTTTCACTTTTTTTTTGCACCAGGTGAAGCCGGACATGCCCAGATGGTGCGCGAAGCCTGTGGAGAGCTTCGCAAGGCTGCAGCCGAGGTATTGGAGATGATCCATGAATCGGTCAATGCGGAGGCGACCGAGGTGGCTCAGTACTGGCAGGTGCGGATGGTTACAGCCGACTATTGGCCACCTTAAAAAAAGGACGATATTCATGATATATGGAATATATGGTTTAAGTAGACACATCTCCCAAACCTGGATGTTGATTGGATTTTGAGGAACTTGAAGGTTGGTTTAATGGGGATTTGGATTCTTATCACTTTGCAAAATATCCACCAAAAATGGATGTTGAGAGATCGTTTCCTTCAAAATCAAACTTCCCAGCAACCTTGGTGGCTCGCTGGTGGATTTGTTCATTTTGGGGTCCGATATTTTCCATTATTTTCCGATATTTTCATATGGGGGAAGAGAATTAGGATCTGATCGGAGTATGGATTTGTATCCATTTCTATCTGAGAACCATGTGGTTGCACGTCATTTTTTGCTGCTTGACTAGTTAGAAATCTTAAACTCATTTTTTTGGTTGACGAGGCACGAATGGCCAAGTTTCCTCCCCATGAGGTGGTTCTGTCTGCCTATCGCTTGGTGCTCTGGGCCACTGCCTTGGCGGATGGGAACAACGCCGCTCTGCGGGCTGCGCAGGCGCTACAGAACATCCTGGCGCCACTGGGGCAATTCTTCTGGCAACATTTGGCCACGGGTCGCTGGTGAAATTTCTGGGTGGGAAAGGGTGAACATCTTGAAAAAGGATTCGCCTTCCATATGGTTCAATGAATTTCACATGGCATGCCATGTTGGAAAATGATGGAACATGGGATAGGATGGAAATTGGCGTGTGCAAGAGTGGGCGAGGGGCTGCGAACTAAAGGGGGTTTCCACTACTTAAACTGATCATGGCACATGGATATAAAATCACCATTCTTTTCGTGGGGTGCAAGCAACAATTTTGACCCTTGCGTATTTTTTCCCGATGGGGAAGGCTATATGTATCTTAGACATTCTTAGACCCCTACTACGCCAAAAACCGTGCCCCGGAAGATTTACATTTAGGGAGGGGGGGGTGAAAGTCCGTAAGAGATAGGTCCCCCGTACCCCCCCTCCGAACCCCCCTCCGGTCCCTACGGATAGCGGGGGGGTGGGGGGAGGTAAAAATTGTTAAATGTCCGCAAGCAGTTTGTAAACTGTTTGTGAGGTGTCTTTGTGGGGGTGTAATCAACCTATGTCTGAGGTCCATAGTTCCTTGCGGAAAGTGTTCGAAAAAGAAGGTAAAACTAAGATAGAACAATGTAACCATCCTACACCTGAGGTCCTTAATTCCTGGCAGAAAGTGCTTAAAAAGTAGAGATGATATAAAAAAAATGTAACTTGTAATTAACCATCTTACACTTGAGGTCCTTAATTCCTTGCAGAAAGTGCTCAAAAAAGAAGGTGGAGATAAGATAGAATCATGTAACCATCCTACACCTGAGGTCCTTAATTCCATGCAGAAATTGCTTAAACAGAAGGTAAAAATGAGATAGACAAATGTAACCATACTACACCTGAGGCCTACAATTCCTTCAGAAAGTGCTTAAAAAAGAAGGTAAATACAAGATTTTAAAAAAACAACTCATCCTATTCATAAGGTCCATTCTTCCTTGAAGAAAGTGCTCGAAAAAGAAGGTAAAGCTAAGATTGAAAAATGTAACCATCCTACACCTCAGGTTCCACAGTTCCTTTCAAAATCAACATGACACATGTGTAGATTGGCATTATATTATGGTTGGAAGGTCATAAGGGGGGCTAGATAGGAACCGTGCAAATAGCTGCAGAATTGCAGAAAATCAAAAATGCAAACTGGAAGTGTGTAGGTCCCCAATTGCCTGGTATTTCCAATACATTCTACACTTGTTCATCATTTCCACATGTAACATAGAGGTATAGAAGGTATATTATTCCTTGCAAATTACCGGAAAATCCTTGAACTTCAAATAAATGTAAAATTAGATGTTGAAGGTCTTCAAATTTGCCTCATACCTATGAAAAAAACAATAGAATACAAATAAAGATCTCAAATGGACCTCAAATGGACTTCAAAAGGACTTCAAATGAACCTTTATGGGGTCCCCATGGTAAACCCCCTTTATGTACCTACATGATCGAACTTAAACACCCTTCTGCCAGACCTTCACACTATTTTTTTCATTTTTTTATTTTCTTACATTTTTTTCAAAAATGCAATGCACGATATTGAACGCCCCCCTGCGTTTTTTAAGAAAATAAATGAAATCCCGTAAAGAATGAGGGGACCTACTACAATGAAATCTTGCAAATAAGACGCAGTTTAAAAAATAAATGCTTGCCAACATTTAACAGGACCACCTCCCTCAAAAACGTCTAAATTGTGTCTTGCAATTTGGGTACGCCCCCCCTCCTTAAAAGGGTAGTGATGATATAAAATGATATGAATATATGCTACTTGGTATAGTGGAATTTGATGATTTCGTGGGTCCTCCAAAAATCGGACCACGCCTTGAACCCAGCTGATCAGGTCAGGAACCGTGGCTGTTGGCACTTGAACGTCAACGGGTTCATTTCCTGTCCATTGCGACGGCCATGAGTTCTGACAGAGATCCCTTCGGCCAAAGTCAGACGCTGGGCTATTCCCCGATTTTTGAATAGTTTTTGGCTTGCCCCCTTGGCAAGGATAAAGACCAGGGCTGTCTATTTTGGATCGTTTTTGAATTGTTCGATTCATGAACCACCTACGGTGATACTGCTCGTCGGGTGGCATATAATCTACAATCTACAAGTGTGAATATGCAACCAGCTCCTCATGAAGGCGGGCACTTGCCTCTACCCAACATCCAGCCGACCAAGGCCTCAAGCCGACCGTCTCTTCACTTGCCTCGGCCTGGATCCTGGGAGCCTCGAGATTCGCCTGTCGTTAGCATGTCACTTCGCCCTGGGCTCGCCTTCGTGTCTATCCTTGCCTGTAGCCTCGCTCCAGTGGCTGGAGCGCTTGGATGACGAGTTCCTGCAGGGTCTGCACCACGTGTTGCGGGGAGACCTCGGCATGGCCATGGAGCGATGGAACCACTTAGCCAGTCGCAGGGATTTGGCGCCTGGGCTGCGGCAGCTGGAGCTACCAGAGGACGTTTGGTGCGCCCTGGCGCGCGGTGCCCGGCCGCCGTTGATGGAAGCGTTACTGGCGGCACAGCGGCTCCCCGCACCGGTACAGAGAGAACTGCAAGATGCGGTTGGAGCAGATGCTGAAACTGGGACAGCGAGGGAACTGGAAAGACTTGTGGAAAGCGCGCAAAATAGAGGAGTTATTGGGGGACAGGGGGCCGTAAGCGATTTCTATTGTGCATAACTGTGTGTCCAAAATGAAACCGAAGAAACACGTTTGGAGCAAGAGTACCTGGAAACGGTGCATGTTCGAGAACGTAGATCAACCCCCTTTGTTGGATTATTGATGTTCCGTGCTCCTCTCAGGGCCTTGCTGTGCGCAAGAGCGCGGCTGGCAAGGAGGCCCAAAACGTGGTGGTTTCACAAAATCCTGGGCCCCAGATCTCCTCAGTGTTGGTGGGGTGACCCATGGGTGGAACCCATGTCGCGCTGTCGGAAGCTTGACGGCCAAGGTGCGATCCTTCAAGGAGGTCCTAGGCGCTGCAGAGATGAGCATCGAGGAGGGGAGGAACTTGGATTTTGAGTCACGACCCTACATCCTACAGCACGGTACTCACAGTAGCCCGTTTGACCAAGTCCTTCAAAACATTTCACAACAAGTAAGGCTTTAGATTCTAGATGCTTCAGTAGCAATCATGTAGGACTTTGCAGACGTGGTGCGATCCGTCAAGGAACGCCACAAGCACCAGCAGGAAACTTGGTGCGTGGTGAACTGTTGTAGACTAGAAAGGTGGCACAACAAGCAGCACCATAGCAGTACCAATAGGATGTGGACAGGGCGGGTGTTGAAACGCCCACCCGAAGGGTCAGATATGGTCATGGTCATACCGAGTCATACCTTTTCCCTCCAAGGGTGAAGCGGCTGACAGTGGGCATGAAGGATTTGAAAAGGCCTGGTACTTTGATGTAGTTTAGCAGTATGGCTTTTCCCAGGGTTTTCCTATGTTTTCCTGTCGGTGACTCACTGGTGACACTTGCAGCGCCACCTCGCGCAGTCTAAGAATTCAAGCTGGCGCAAGCGAGGCCGAGGCGAGGTTAGCTGGAGGGAAAAAAAACCCTTGGGGTAGTTCTGCCAAGACAGGGAGTTCGCATATGTTCGCATGCAAAACATGTTTTGTTGCTTTGGTTTTGAATTCCAAGTATATACTGCACGCATTTGTTTTGGCGTCCGCCCGCATTCTCTTGATATTTATCGCTTTTTCTCCAGTCATTTCTTGGCCCCTAGGTGATAGAGGAGATTGACAAGTTTCTGGACCGCCGGAGCCCTGTGAATTTTCTGACAATCGGGGGAAGTTTCTGAGGATGCGTTCCAGTCTTGCCCCCTGAGGCTTCGTTCTTTCCCGCATCGGTATTGAGATGTTAAATTCCCAGTGCCCCCTCTCTCTTACACATGAGACAACATTTGAAGTGGGTGTTTGTAGCGTTTGGCCAATGTTTTGCTTGAGGGTCTAAAGCTGCCAGCATGGCTGCGTCACAGGTACTTGTCCATGTTCTCACAGAACTCGGGGATCGCTGATCCGCACTGTGACCCCTGCGCAGATGACTTAGACTGAAGCACATTTCAGTGCAGCATGCGGGCTTGGGACGTTTGCATGCTTCAAGAATATAGCATCGGAAAGGGGGGCCCAACCTTTTGGATGATTTATGGCTTTATGATGGCTTTAGATGCTGACACTAGATCTATATCTGTGGTGTGGGCAGTTCCCAAACCCATCGCTAGTTGAGGCCATAGCTCGGAAGGCTGCACGCTTTGTCTCTTTGGCCCAATTCTGGGGAGTGGTTTGGGTGGCCCTGTGGATCTACGCGTGAATTCGTCGTCGTCGCATGATGGCAGAGACGCATAGATTAGAGATGATTATATAGATATACTGTGATATACTCAGTATATGATAAATCAAGTCGTTTTGATTAGTATTATTGTCCGTAGGCACGCCACATATGCATTCGTATTATGAATGTAAATTCAATTCGAGAGGTTTCGGGTAGTGATGCATGACGTGCAACTGAAGGGAACCTACGTTTTGAAATAGACGCGCCTCTCAAACCCTCAAACTCTCCAGGTTTGAGATGTCGCAGTTGCTCCTCAGGGCTTCAGCTACATATATTATCACACACACACAGATAGATAGATAGATAGATAGATAGATAGATAGATAGATAGATAGATAGATAGATAGATAGATAGATAGATAGATATACATATTTGTATATAACTTGCTATGACGTATATCTATATGTCTATATGTGAGACCCTTGAAGCCTCGCCTTGTTTGTTTATGAAAGTCATTTCGGCCCAAGGCCCACGGTCCAAGTTTCCAGGTCGCTCCAGGCCGGTCTCCGTTTCTGTTGGTCCAGCCCTGCCCGGGACATCCTTGGACCATGCCAGATGGTCACATGGTCGTGCGGGAGCATGGCAGCCATCACGAGTCAAGTGCCCCCTTTCACCATGCGACGCTGCGGAAGGCTTACCTGTCCAAGGACAGCTTGCAGATTGACATGGAGATCAAGTTCCCACACCGGGAGAAGAATAAGAAACCGCAAAAAGGCGGGCTGCGCTTCAGCCACAATACCGGGTCCATTCTCAGCAACATCTTCACGGAGCAGAAATATCCTGAACCTGTGTACTTCCAAAGTGTTGATTGTGTGGGATTTCCCAACTTCCTATCCAGCAGGGAATGTCGGAAGATCATCGATTTTGCAGAGGCACAAGGATTCTCGGTGCAGAAGAGGCATCGGCTCCTCAACATGATGTGGACAGATGTGGTTGACCCCTTCTTTGCAGAAGCCCTCTGGCAGATGTGCGGCCTTGGCTGGGTGTTGCGCAACTTAGGCATTGACGGGGAGGTGCCTTGTGGACTCAATGACGTCATCCGGATTCAGAAGTTCACTAAGGGCGGGCTCTTTGGGCGTCACACCGATCAGCCCGTCACTCGCGCAGATGGAAGGACATCCAAATATTCGCTGCGCATTTTTCTGAATGGAAAGGAGGAGAAAGACTTCGAGGGTGGTTACAGCGCCTTCCATGGCATTTGCAGTCCTCAGCCGGTCCTCGTTGAACCTGAGACAGGCCTGGGGCTGCTGTACCCCCAAGGAGAATATTGTGCACTTCAAGAGGAGATGGAGGTAGTGGCTGGGTGCAAGTACGTCCTGCGGGCCGATGTATTGTTCCAAAGGGCCAAGGATTGTGTGTCACCCCATATTCCTTTTCACCATCCATCACCTTCTTGTGGAGGATGATGGGGGCTTATAGTTGCCGAATCCGAATCGACGATGATTGGGTCAAAACGGCCCGATCCTTTCCGCAACAAAGATCAATGCAGCGAATGGAAAGAAACAACTTAAGATGAAGAGAGTCAACACCTTTCATGATCTTTCAATTATTTTTTGTATGCTTTCCTGCATGAGCTGGGGTACTTCTTGGGATGTGAAGCACTCCCCACTCCTAAGGCTCGAAAGATTGCCTCGGCAGAGTTTGGAGGATCCCTGCCAGAGGTGTGGCACATTCCACTTGGGGAAGAGAGAGTCCCCGCACCAAAACTCAATGTGTTGGAGGAACAATCCGGTTTTTCCCCCAAAGTGGTTGGGGTTTTGGGAAGCACGATGTTCAATTCGCATACATTAGCCATGATGAGCTTATATTGTCTTATATAAGCCAAGAGGGCTTTTTTGATGTGGTCTTCTTTAAATGATTTTGGATCCTTGAAAATCCACGGAAAATCTGGTCCAAATCCTTCGTGAGCCTTTCTTGGATTTGTTTAGCTCTAGCTTTAAAATTTTCAAACTCTATGTTGCTTTCAGTGGGTTCACTGCATGACAAGTGTATTTACAAAATGGAATCTGGCACAACAACCTCAAGGAGTCACGGGGGAAAACTGGGAAAAAGTTAGTTTTTTTCTATATAGTTTTTTTGGTTTCTTTAGTTTTTTCAAGTTTTTCTTAGCATTTGCTAGCTTTCTCTAGCATTTGGCTGCTGACACATCCGTACCAAGCGAAACTAGATTAGGCTAGAAAAGTCAGTGATGGGTGAAGCCCTTCAAGGCAGAGGTTCCGGTCGTGAAATGTGAGGAACGACCTTGGGAAACACAGAAATATCTTGAAAAAGGGAGAACATATATATCAGTGCAGCTCAGTGCAGGGTGGGTCAGTGGACTTATTGTGTTTTCTTCAGTTGTTTTCTAGTTTTCTTTCGCCTAATCTAGTTTGTACTTCGATTTTGTTAGCCTCAATTAGCCGCTATTTTTTTCCTTTCTGATTTAGAGCGGACCTGATCAAAGCGGCCCTGTAGCGGATTCAATGATTTTGGCAGCAAGATCCTCAAGCTACGCGTCCCTTGCGATGCCTTGACAGGGTGAAAAACTTGTGCCTCCCAGGTGGATGTCACCTTCCACGGCAAAGCGGATGTCACCTCCTCAGCCTGAAGCAAACTGCTACCCGTCCTGCGTGTCACCACGAGGCTCGAACACTTCCACTGGTTCCATCCTATCTGTCCGGGGCTCGGTAACTACCCTTTGGTACTCTGACATAGCGATGGAAAATCACCAGTTTAATGGAAATCAGCCATTTTTCCGTAGCTATATATTAAATTACCAAAGGGGGATTCGTCAAGTCGTGTCTTCTGGGTGCGCTGCAGGATGTATATCCTCATGGAGTTGCTGAAGAACAGTCCGCGCCCCCAACGGACGAGGTTTTACCAAAGTTCCATGAGTTCTTCTGCAGTTTTGCCTTGGAAGATTTGGTCCGAAGATATTCTCCTATATCCTATATTCTCCTCTCATCTCCTCTCTCATTATCCTCATTCTCCTTTCATGATGATGAAAGTATGCCCCACTGACAGCCCAACTGCGCTTGATTCTGCGCCTTCTTAAGGAAAACGGCTGTGAAGTTGGCTTGTTTGTTTTGTTCCGAGATGCTGACACACCCCAAATGGCAGCTACTATTCGCAGCGATCAAATCAAATTTGATTTGCCGGATGTCTTTTATCTCTTGATTAGTCTTAATTCCATTTAGTGAGAATAGATAGATGGATTGGATTGGATTGGATAGGATTGGGTTGGGTTGGATTGGGCTGGGTTGATTAGGATTTGCTTGGATTGATTGACTGATTGATGGGTAGGTATATAGGTACATAGATAGATCGATGGATAGATTAGATTGGATTAGATTGGATTAGAGTCTAGAGTAGATTAGATTAGATTAGATTAGATAGACAGACAGATTAGATAGATAGATGGATGGATGGATGGATGGATAGGATAGGATAGGATAGGATAGGACAGGACAGGACAGGACAGGACAGGACAGGACAGGACAGGACAGGACAGGACAGGACAGGACAGGACAGGATAGATAGATAGACAGATAGACAGATCGATAGATCGATAGATCGATAGATCGATAGATCGATAGATCGATAGATCGATAGATCGATAGATAGATAGATAGATCGATAGAAAGAAGAAAGAAAGAACAGAAAGATAGATAGATAAACAGATTGAAAGATAGAACAATAGACTAGAGAGATAGAGCGATAGAAAGATGGATTAGATTAGCTTAGGTTAGATTAAATTAGATTATATAGATTATATAGATAGATAATCAGAAAGACAGATTGGGCAGTTTTTGGTTAATCTTTGCCACATCGATGCCCTTTCCCCAAAGGACACCGAGAACTCCCCGAGACTTCGGTGCCTTGTGCATCCGAGGCGTCCGTGCAGTGGCAGAGCAACACCGTGCGTTTGGCTTGACAAGTGCAGCGCCGGTGCCTGAGACAAAACCTTGGAGCGAAACTATATCTATATCTATCTCTATATATATATATATCCATATACTTTTAGTTCCGTGAAAGAAGAGCGACTCATATCATGACATTGTCGGTTTTCAAGGCGCTTTATTTCTGATACCGCTCTGGTAATTTTTGATTCTATGTGTTACATTGGGAACATGATTCGTGTTTTTTCTTTTTCCATCGCTAGTGGGGATTCTTTGGCAAGATGACCTCAATTGGCAAATATGCTAGCATAGTAAACATAAATGCCATCATGAACTGAATGTTGGCTGGAATTGAACATTGGAACCAGGTTTGTGTGTCCAGCGGCCGCTTGTGACCCTTCCATTTTCACCGCGACGGCCAGGGTGCCACCCATTGTGATCCGGGTGGCAAGCGATGACTCGCAAGTCGTGACTGGTGGTCTTGGGTTGCAGGGCTGAAACTGCTGATTTTTGGGGCACAGTATGGCAGAGGGATCCCTAAGAACCACATGCATTCAATGGTTTTTCCGTGTGGTTCGACCGCCAGCTGAAATGACAACGGATCTGCAGTGACTGAAAAGCACAATTCCAAGCGGCAGGATGGATATCTTTGACCGTGGAGGTGGGATTCCTTTCGAGCTGCTTGGTGAAACAATGGTCATCCATTGACCTCAGCAGAGTCATCGCACCGAACCACTATGAACCCGGCTATCGAGGCTGCAGGAAAAGGTTTGGAGCTACATGTATTCCACGAGAAGGACTGGGATCTGAGCTGAAGCATGTTGAAACCACCAATTGAGTTGAAATGAGGTTGTGCAGAAACAGTGTGCCCTCGAAATCCTTCAAAATGGATAGACATGGTTTTATGATGTTGTTTGTGAGTCTTATTATAGTAGTGTGTGTGTGTGTTTGTATTGAAGAGATGACAAGGAGAGTTCACAGTATTTGTTATTTTTGGACGCAGTCAACAACAACAACAAAAACAAAGTATTTTGTGGCATCCATCCCGCGCGCTGAGCTCCAGGGGTAATCCTGGTACCGTCCAAAGTGACGCAGGAGAGGCGCCTGACCGCAACTTCTTTGCAGTTTATAAATTCGTAGGTTGCTGCAGTACTCTTCTAAATTCTTCTCGGAACTAATACCTTCACCTTAGCATTAGACACCCCACGATTTAGGAGGTGTTTAATGTTAGGGGGATGAGCTCTTTTTGTTTGCTACTGCATCATGCTAAACATATGTTTCAAATTGTTTTGACTCATTTTTGATTTCCATTGAATTTTGAAAACGCTGATCGAACTGGCTTATATTCTCAAGAGGAGTTGAAGCCTCCAACCGTTCAACCACACTTTCTTCGCGTGCACCACTGCGCAACTTAGAATTGCTGAAGGTGATTTATTGTTTTCCCATCGGGAAATCCACCATTTAGGGAATCTATAGGGACTTTTTTTTAAGGCGGCCCCCTTACTTCAACGAATCCAAGATAAGCCTTTCAGAGGCTACGCCCTTGGCTGGCTTTGGTGTGGGGCTGCCGCTGTCCCGCTTGTACGCTGAGTGCCCTTGTCGTCCTGAGTCAGAGCCAGTGCCAAAGTCGGTGTGAGCTTTGAAACTTGACAGTTGTTTGATGTTGTTTGAATATTATCCCATTTCATTCCCAAGAGATCCCAAGAGTATTGTGAATAGATTTGATGACCCTACTTAGATTTCCCATATAGCCCTTATTACCCTATTGTCTTTCGGGTGGATGGGGCTGTGTTCGGACTTCCAGCATGTTTGGAGGAACCCACTTAGGTGATCTCAGATGGAGGTCTAGGACATTGCCGGTCCAAAAGTCTGGCACATTCTGGCACGTACGGACAGGTACATAGGCGGATCTTTGCAGCTGGTGAGCATGCCACATGGCTATGGTAGATGGACATGTTGCATGATGTGCGAGGACACTTGTGCAGAAGCGAGAGAGAGAGAGAGAGAGAGAGACAGAGAGATCTGAACCTGGTGGCTTCCTTTTTCAATCAAAGAACCTTTGAGGAGTTAACATTATTATGATTATATATAATATATACATACATGTGTGTGTGTATATGTGTGCAGGTGACGTATCCCAAAAAATCCGACCTTCCCAAACTGGCAGATCCATCCAGCCAACAGACCAGCTTCGGCATTTCGAGCGGCCCAGGCCCAACTTTGGGACGCGGCTCAGCTTATCTCAGCTTAACAAAAACGCCAGCGATGTGGTAACAGGATCAACTTTTGCGATCCGGGCAGGCCATTGCTATTATTTTGCCTAACACACGCACAGATAGATAGAGATAGATAGAGATAGAGATGTAGATAGATAGATAGATAGATAGATAGATAGGTAAATAGATAGGTAAATAGATAGATAGATAGGATTAGATAGATAGATAGGATTAGATAGATAGATAGGATTAGATAGATAGATAGGATTAGATAGATAGATAGATAGATAGATAGATAGATAGATAGGTAATTAGATAGATAGATAGGATTAGATAGATAGATAGGTAATTAGATAGATAGATAGGATTAGATAGATAGATAGGATTAGATAGATAGATAGGATTAGAT